TGTATATGGTCCTTCTGTTTTTGCCCCATATCTGCCTTTTAAGTTATCTTTTCCTGCTTCACCATGCACAGAGGAATGCTACCTACTGGCTTCCTTTCCACTTCACATGCAACTAACTTTCCTATACAGCACAGGCCTTCCTTAGAAATGGTGTTACCCACCCTGGGCTGAGCCCTCCCATATCAGTCATTAATCAAGACAATCTTTCACAGACTCTACCACAGGGTATTCTGATCTGGGAAGTTCTCAGTTGAAGTTCCCTTTTCCCAGGTAACTCCAGGTTGTGTCAAATTGACAATAACCAGCACAGTAATTACGTTTTATTTTATTTTTATTGAGTTACTGGGGATCAAAGCCAGGTCTTGCATATGCTAGGTAATAGTAACTATTATTATCAGCACTTAACATTATGAGATTTTAGGCTGAACTCTTACATAATCACAATTCATCCTCATAAACACACCTTTGAAACAGATGGTGCTGCTTCCACTTTGCAGGTGAAAGGAATGAGGCTCTTAGGCATTTATGGCTCACCTGCAGGAACACAGCTGGAGAAGTAATGAACAGAGTGAACCCTTGTTCTCTTTGATACTAAAAACGGTTTCGTTCATTGCTCTATGCTGCATATATTGATAGGATTGTTCAGACACTAAATACTAAATCTGAAAATGATTAAAATTTATAAGAGAATTGAGTAACATGCTTTGTCTTAAAGTCAGTTACTAGTCAAAATAAAACTGAAAATGCTTAGGGAGAATGAATAAAATTCCCCTTAGATAACATGGAAACTGCTATTTATACACTTTTCCCAAGGATTTAATGCGCTAGTATAAAAAAACCTCAACGTTTTATTATTTATTCATGAATAATTTTTCCTTTCTCATTCAGTGTTTAAAACCTTGTAAATTATCTGAGTTGTTTTTACTTCACTTTTAGTAACTTAAAAACTTATACCTGAACCCTGAGAAGAAAATGTTTTGGTTAACCATAAAAAGAAAGAAAAGTGCACTCTGAGTGGAGCTGTCCCCCAGTTCCTATGAACTCCACATCTATGCTGATGGAAAATACTTTCTGGTGGAATAGGGCCATGAAGGCATCAGTACAAAGCATGTGCAGGCTTGTTTCCCCTGCTGTTATTTCTAATGCAATTCAGTATATAACAACTGTTGACATGACATTTACATTTAGTAACCTAGAGATGAGTTACTGTCTACAGAGGTCTTCAATAGGTTATCTGTAAATACAGTATTTTTCCCTTAATGCTCTAGATGGAACCACATACTAGGCAAGTGTGCTTTATAACTGAGTTGTGTCTCCCAACCTTTAAGGGGTATTTTGTTTGGGTGTGTGTGAGTGAGACAAACACACACACAGAGGACAACTTTTTGGAGGGGTGTTTTGTTTTGGTGAGTGAGAGAGAGAACACAACTTTGTGGAGGTGTTTTTTTCTCTTCCACCTTTATGTGGGTTTCTGGGACTCAGGACACTAGGCTTGTACAACAAGCTTCTTTACCCAGTGAGCTCCCAACCTATAGGGGTTTTGTTTCCGCTTGCTTGCTTGCTTTTGAGACAAGATCTCTGTATGTATCCCTGGTTGACCTCAAACTCTCAGCCATGTGCTTCTACCTCCCAAGTTCTGGGATTAAAGGCATGTGCCACCACACCTGGTCAACCCATAAGTTTTTAAGACGAGGTCTTTATGTATAAATCATGCTGGCCTTGAACTTGTTTTCTAGCTCAGGCTGCCCCCAAACTCCTAGTCTTCTTGCATTGGCCTCCTGAACACTGAAATTACAGACAGACATCCATCACTAGGCCCAGATACTATGCCGGTTTTACCTAAGGAACTTGAACACCCACAGGTTTTGGTATTTGTCAGAGGTTCTGGAAGCAGTCCTGCATGGATAACAAAGGGTAGATATACCATAGTTTATGAATTTCCTTTATTGTAAACAGGAAGGTTAACTTGTTAAAAAAGTAATTAATCAACCCTAATTTGCATTATTGATAATATCATTACTGTTCAGAAACTATTAAAATCTTTAAAGCTATATGTTGAGAACTGTTTTTTAGTCTCTACTTTCAGTATTATCACAATATCTTTTAAAGAAATATTGCTCCTGTTCAGTAACTATAGTTCTTTAATAAACTTTTAATTTTTTGTTACTCAATAAAGATTTTGTATATAATTTTTTCCTCTGATTTTCGTAGGCTCAGAAAACTCAGAAGCCACCACAGAAACCAGCTCCCACTGTTGTTTCTGTGGCTCCAGCTGTCAAGGATCCACTAGTTAAGAAACCAGAAACCAAACTCAAACAAGAGACAGCCTTCCTAGCATTCAAGAGAACAGAAGTTAAGGTAAAGTGCATTCATTTTCATTCGTTTTACATACATACATAAATCTCAGTCTGGTTGACTAAAGGGTAAAAGTTTGATGAGAAACTTTATGATTTGAATGACTGGTGTTGGAAGTGAAAGCTGCCCATCATTAATTAGCTAGGAAGGGAGCATTTATATCAGAAATTGACTTTCTACATTGAAGTAGGAGGCATTACTAAGTTTCCCGAGTTGGTGCTGTTTAACATCTTATCCTGGTTGTGTTCTAAACCATCTGTCACTCTGTGGAGCATCACAGGCCACAGTAGTCATTAAAAGCAAGGGCTCAACACACAGGCCTTACTTTCTTGTTTATCTTTCATCGAGCATTGGTCTTTTTAGTTACTTCAAATAAGTTTTCTTTGGTGATGTGTGATGAAGGGTCACAGAGCCATATGGCAGATGGTTTCATGTTTGATAGAAAGGAAAGGAGGAAAAAATGGATCTTTCAAAACAGAAAATTAAAAACGTGCCACATTGTGTCCTTTTGCTTTCTTTTTCTGTCACCAGCAGTGTGTCCCAGGAATAATGTTTTATAAGATGGTTTCCTAAACAGGATATCATGAGATAATTATATGGTGCTATTCTAAAAATGTATGGTTTTTCAGAACATGTGAACAAAAACTTTAATTTCTCATATTAAATAAAAGCCCCACAGCACTCTTACTTTATTGCTTTTCCAGTGGTTTAAAGTGCTTATATACAGACAACATTGAAGGCAACCTTGTAAGAGCTAATGATATCAACTATTTCATGAGAGTTCAATTCTAAAATAAATAGATATTCTAAGTATTTTATTACCACTTTTATACATTGTGTATTACCATTTTAACACAGGGTAGTCCTGTGTCTGACTTCACCTCTGAGTGCTCTTTGAGACCCTCTCAATATGAAGGTAGACAGTGTTTGTACAAAGGTTGGTTCAAAATTAATTTGAATAAAGAACCTTTTTCCTAATGTGAAAATGGACAAAAAAATCATCCTATGTCTTTAAAACAATGTCATTTACATGCTTGTCACTAGTCCAGGTAGGAAGTTGATTGGAGGCTGAAATGTTACAGCCTTACGAATCCTCTAAGAGCATGTCAGACTGCCCCAAAATGCCACAGTGCAGCCCAAGAGGCAGCTGCCAGTGTCTACATGAAAGTGGGGGCTGTTACTGTAGTTTCAATGGAAACACACATTGTAAATCTGCATTTGTGAGCTCTTTTAATATATCCTCAGAGTTTAAATATCTGTGTATGTTTTATAGTGCAGTAGATGTCAAAATTTTTGTGTCAGCTTGGTTATTTTAAGTGGCTTTAGAACTTGTATATAGATGTTTCCCTTAACATGTTCACTGTAAATAACTGTTGATTGAATCTTTCACTTAGGTATTTTTTCCTGAATATCTTGGGTGCAAACAGTTTTGTTCATTAAAAGTAGATTCCATTTGGATGTGTTATGAGCTAGGTGATACTTTTGGGGGTAACAAAAGTGACTTGAAGAACTAAATCTGATTCTCTGTTATGGTTTGTGATTGAATCTAAAGGCAGTTCCCAAAAGGAATTTCATGTATTTTCTTTGAAGTCGTGAAAACAATGTGGCATTCAGGAACTGCAAGCCATATAACGTCTTCCCTGACTACAGAAACTCCCATGTGCCTTTTCAGTTCAGTGTCATAGGAACCTAATTTTGTTGTATTGTCCAGATTTTCCACATCATTGCTGTTTATACATGAGTAAATGTTTACATTCAAAGATATTATACAGGTGTTGATTATACTTGGCTCTAATGTAAGATTTATCTTTTTTTTTTTTTTTTTTTAAAGCCACCCACAGTTATTTCAGGAAATTCTTCTAGTAACAACGTGTCCTCTTCAGTAACTAGCGGCCTAACTGGATGGGCAGCTTTTGCAGCCAAAACGTCTTCAGCTGGTCCATCAACAGCAAAGTTGAGTTCCACAGCACAAAACAGTAGTGGAAAACCTGCTGCCTCGTCAGCTAACCAGAAGCCTGTGGGGTTGACTAGTCTGGCAACGTCATCCAAAGGTGGGCTAGGTTCCAAAATAGGCTCTGGTAACAGCTCTTCCCCCTCCGTACCACTGAAACCGCTTCCCCCTCTAACCTTAGGCAAGACTGGCCTGAGTCGCTCAGTTAGTTGTGATAATGTCAGCAAAGTGGGTCTTCCCAGTCCCAGTAGTTTAGTTCCTGGAGGTGGTGGGCAGTTGAGTGGGAATGGAAATAGTGGTACGTCAGGGCCCAGTGGAAGTGCCTCAAGCAAAACCAGCTCAGAACCCAGCAGCAGTCCCTCAGCATCTCTTAAAGGTCCAACTTCACAAGAATCACAGCTCAACGCTATGAAGCGATTACAGATGGTCAAGAAGAAAGCTGCCCAAAAGAAACTCAAGAAGTAATGTGGCCAAATAGGTTTTTATATCATATTGCTCTAAAGAGTAAAAAAAAAAATCCTTATTGAAACAAAAGATGTAATATACTGTAACTTAATAAAAATCATGATGATCAGATCTCTAGTGTTTGTTACATTAAAGTGCTAATATTATTTAGCCAAACTTGGAACCATTTATTTCAGCCTGTTTAGCATTTTTATTTTAATGATTTCCATAATGTACAAAAATAGTGATTATGACTGGTACATGATGAGAAAGTTAGAAGATTGATAGCATATGCAGATATAAAGAAATGGTTCACTTGGCAAAATACCCCAAGATTTAAAACTCCTGAAATAAGGTACCTTATGGGTGACAGGGAAGACTCATTAGTGTTTTATAATATCCAGTTCTCTGCCTTATGGGAAATCTCTCCCTTTCTCTCCTGTGAACTCTAGCCATAATTCGATCCTACAGGAGGTGGTCCAGGTCTTTGCCTTGTAAGCTAATGAGTTAGTTGGCTATCAGTTTACATATATATTCCAACAAAGAATAGAATGCTTTCAGTATCAGACCAGTAAATGTATAGTAGCAAAATGCAGTGTCCTTTTTACAGTCGACAAACACCTCATCTTTTCCCAAAACTGAATCTTGTAATTTCCTATATTTACTGAGTAGAATTGTTTTATCACCCTTGCTATGTGCTATAAAATCTAAACTCAAAGCATCTTCCTTTATCCCTAGGTTTCCTAACATCATTATTCTAAAATAAATTGATAAATAGTCTCTTTAAAGATAAAACTTGTTAAGCTTGGTCTTTTTCTATGGAAAGATTTTAAACTAGTCTGTTAAATATTGGCATTAATTTATTCATAAGTTAGAATCCAATACTGAAACAAACCCATTATTTAGAGATGGAATAAATATCTATTTACATGCTTAAAAATCTGCCTGTAAATGTTTTTGTTTTGAGAAACACTTTTCTGTTGATAAACACTGTTTTGGTATAAACTCCAAATCCTCTTTATAAAGAGTTCAAAAAAGTTTGCTGTTTATAGTTCAAATGCACTGTTGACTTAGCAGAATGAGGCGGCACAAGCTTCTGTGGACAGCTGCTGCAGTCAGTGTGACTCACTACCTTGACATTAGAGAAATAATGCTTAGTACAGTTTGCACATTAGCATTTGAAGAGAAGATTTTTACCCCATCGCAGAAAGTGTGCTGGAGTTCAGAGAAGCAATTGTTTGGTTTTTGTGGCATTTCTTGAAAATTTTAATGAGTTTAGGACTAATTCATCTTTCAGTGAATATGATTCTTTGTATAGGTAATATTTGTGTGTGTGTGTGTGTGTAAAGTAAGGGGCTGAACTCATTTTGGTATTTTTAAGATATATTTGATAATAGAATTTATCTCAAATAACTCTTAGGCCTTTATTTTTTTTTCTCATCACAAAATATGCTGCAAGAAGCAGTTATGAAAGTAGCAATAGTATGTTTTTATCTGATTATGTTTAAAAAAACAAGTATTTCCTGCACCCAGGTTATGTGAGGGGGAGAAATCATGCTTTTTTCTTGAATAGCACTGAAATCTGCAGCTCTCTATCTGTTGGCTCAGTGAATGAGTGGACAGATGAGTAGGCATCTTAGTTTTTTGTTGTGATAAAGTGTAGGAGTCCCACGTTCAGGGCGCCATCTGTGGGAGGCCAGCTCCCACCTTTTAAAGGGTTCCTATGAGGAGGAGAGAGGAATAAGAAATATAGATAGAAAGATAGCAGAGAGGAGACAGACACAGGATAGCTTTGGGAGGAGCATGATAAAAATCCACCAGCTCCTTCTGTCTCTTCCAAAGGGCTTTTTATAACAATGCCAAGGGGTGGGGCAAAAGACCTCCCCCTTGCTAGATCAAAGCATATGCAACAGCCAGTGCAGACCCTTCCAAACCCCTGGTAACCCCCACTGTGATCCAATCATTCCCCTGTGCAGCCCTGCTGGGTAAAGCAAGCTCAGATCTCACTAGGAAACCTGTGGGTCTCCACAATAAAGTATCTGACAGAAGCAACTTAAAGGAGAAAGGGTTTATCTGGGGTCACTGTCTCCAAGGGCTAGAATCCATCATGATGCTGAAGGCATGGGCCAGAAGCATGAGGTCAGTTGATCAGGTTGTCTCAGCAGACAGAAAACAGGAACAGGAAGCAGAGTGAGGCTACAAAACCTCAAAATCCTCCCCCAGTAACATGTAAGTCTCAACCTCCTATAGATCCCACAACTTTCCAAAAAGCACCACCAGATGGCATTGAGCTCATGGGGACAGTACACATTCAAACCACAACAGCAAGTGTTCTTGTAAGCTTTCAGGGTTGACAGATCAAACTGCATTTTGGTCAGTATCCTCTTTCTGTTTTTTATATTATACTTTATGAGATTAACCATAGAATTTAGTGACTTAAAAAAAAGAAATGGCACTGGAAGAATAATAGTCTTAAGATTGAATAACTTCAACCCTTTTTTGTTAGTTTTCTACTTTATGCTAATTTTGTTGTTGTTGTTTGTTTTTTGAGACAGGGTTTCTCTGTGTAGCTGTCCTGGATCTCACTCTGTAGACCAGGCTGGCCTCAAACTCACAGAGATCCCCCTACCTCTACCTCTTAAGTGCTGGGATTAAAGGTGTGTGCCACCACCGCCCAAACCACCCAAATTTCCTACTTTATAAGACATAGTTCAAATGAGATAAAAATGGAAGACACCTAATACAAAAGACCCCTGGTTTATAATTCTTTAATTTTTTTTCAGTAGTGTAAACGTGATACATATTTAGTAGAATCTACATTTCACATTGTCTTCCTGGGCTAGTCATGCACTATATAATACTCTTCCATTTCTGGGCAGGGGCAGCAGATTGTAGCTTGCAGTAATTCATGGGCCCATGCCAGCAAGCAACTGATAATCTCCATGTAGTGCCAACTTGGACTCTAATGGTCAAGTAGGTCAGGATATTTTAAGCCCACGGTGAGTGTATCAGTATGTAAATCCACTATAAATTAAAGCACATCTGAATTTAAAAGTTAGATGATTCCAATTCTTAACAAAGGTATGGTGGTAGTTTTATTAGTTACAAATTATAAATTGTTATGACCACAGATTTCACAGGAAACATCACTTTTAACAAAATTTATTATAAAAATCACAAGAAATTAGAAATGTGATGGATACATTCAGATGCCTTAGAGGAGGTTTAAGCAAAACAAAACTTATTTAGTAAGAATATATTCCCAGAATTTCTGACCAAGAGTATCTCAATTCCAGTCTTTTATAAAGTGTTGAGATATTTTTCAAAATGTTGTAACGTACCTGCTTTTAACAGTAGCTGCTTAAAGACATCTCAGCTTGAAATCCAGTAGCCCTGAGGAAAAGTTTGTACTGGAGTAGTTTTGTAGATCACATATCATTTAGTGATGAGTTTTTACATCTCTGTGTATATAGAGAGGGCAGCAACTACAAAATTAGACTTTTAGGAATTGCAGCCTTTGAACAGGATCTATTCCTACAGAATTTCAAGTCCAGTGTCTGTCTAGTCAGCAAACTGTAATCGCATCCTCATGACCATAATGTAAATGTATAAGCTTGTTCGGTCTGAGTTTTGTGAGGTCTGAATGCTGAATGTGAAGTCACTAGTTGGCAATACAGTGGGTATATTAGGAAGCTATAGTTACTACAAATGACTTACAGGGCTTTTATGTCTTAAGATTTTCTCCTTTTATTCAGACAGCTGTGTGAGATTAATGTGGTAGAAAAAAATCCAAGAGGCAAATGAGAAAATCCAAGAGTTTTTAATTCCACGATTCAGTGTGAAACACTCCTTTTTTTAAATCACCCAAACTATGTTCATCCCAGATAGCATCAGCCATTTAAAAAGCAATTTCTCAAAATCCGAATTATATTTTGGCATGGTTTGGAGTGTTTAACATCTGCCACCCACTGCTTTATTACTGTGACTAATCGTGTCTCTCTCTCTCTTTGCCTCTACCCATCCTTCAAACTCAGGATATTTTTCTGAAGTATAAAGAATGTTCCAATAGTAGCTTTGTGACTTTTTCATGACTCCACACCAATGATAATTTTATATTACTAGTTGTATATGTTATACTCTCTACACTTTATTACATGTACTAGTAGTTTTGAACATGTGCGTTTCAAAATAAAATATAAATAAGATGCATATATTTTTATTTATTTTAAAAAGAAAATTAGCTATAAAAGCTTCCTCTTCATCTTGGTAAAAATAATTGCCCACTTCAGAGGATTCTATTCTGTACAATAGTAATTTTAAAAGAAATATAACCAACTGCATTAGCTTGTGTAGTGGTAATTACATTGATGTAACTAATGGTTGAATCTTTTAAACTCCTTAAATATAAACACCCTATAAACTATCTTGGAAATGTATATTCCTGAGGCCTAGTGAAATAATGTCTAATTTTAAAATTACAGTTTATTTGATGTTAAGTAAAAGAAGTAGAAAATGAAGGTATTTGTAATTTTTCAGAGCTCATTTATAGAAATGTGCTCGTCATGATAGGAAAGTCGCAGTCACTGGCTTCATACTGGTTCTTTCTCTGGAGCTAAGTCAAGTATTGATTGTCCTGGTGTAGAGTTTTCAAAAGGCAGACAGGAAGTGTCAGTCCTGGGCACACACCAGTACACAAAGCTCCTCCTCCATCTAATCATCTATTTCAGCCAGAAAGGCACATGTGTGCTATTTATACAATTCTTCATTTTTGTGTAGAACACTGAAGCTCTGTGTTGCATACAGGTGTGCAGGTATATGCTGCAGTATGTAAATTATGCCTCTTTGGACATTTTTATGATACCCTTACGTAGCAACTCTTGATATCTTTTTGTTTAACTTTAGGCAAATAAATTTTTGTTTTAAAATTGAACTCAAAGAGCAATTAAAAGAAAAAATTGAAATCTCTATTATCTTTTAGAAAATCTTTTGTTATCTTACTTAAAAAAGAAAATATTCTATGCAAAAGCAATGTCAGGAAATTTTTATAAAGCTATTTTAATGAATTTAGTAGTCCTATAAACTTTATTCATATAAGGGAAGAGGGTATGATATTCAGTCAGCTACACTAGAAGAAGTAGAACTCTTTATTTTGTTATAGATATTGCTGAGTAATAAATGTAACATATATATGTACATCAAATGGATCTAGTCTTTCAAAGTGAGAAATCTTAAAATGTGTCATTAGGATTTTTATGGGCAATTAAAATCTTAGTTATGAGTAACTACTAAAATCAAACAAAATTAGAAGTCTCACTGTTACATGATCCTAAACATGCTTTGTTTACAGCTAGTGGTCATCATGGTTTTAGTCCTCTACATAGGGCTGCCCTCATTAGACTGTAAACTTTGCATGGCCAGGTACTGCATGGATTTGAAATGTGCTGAGACCCTCAAATCTACCAGAGTTCCTGATAAAGGCAGGTATTCAGTAATGCTGACCAAGTAGACACATGCCAGACATTTTGCTCTTCATAAAATTTTCTCTATAGAGTTGTTACATCTACTTCTGAGCATTCCGCCTCACTCCTCTCAACCCTGTGTTTGTCCCAGTTATCTATTTTAACCCAATTATGTGTCTTGACTGAATGAATATGACTGAAATTTTGGAGGACAGTCTCTGAGCAGTACCCAAATTAAAGCACAATGCCCTGAGCGTGGTGTTACAGCTAATACAATCCTCAGCGCCTTGTCTGAGAACAAACTGGCCACTAAAGTATTTACGTCTTGGCTCTGAAGTAGAAGGCACACTCCTCATGCATCTCCAAATCAGTGAGTGATCTGAAAATGTTTCCTCTTAAAACTTCATCAGTAATCATGTATGACATATTTAAAACAATCATACTTTCGAACATGCTTAATCACAACAATAAAAGTACAAATAATAAATCTGGACACTTCATTTTTCTCTCCCAGGCTTGTGTAGAAGTCTTTGAAAGCTCTTAACTTTGAAAAGCTGTTAAATATTGAAATGTGGATCTGAGAGAAAAATGATTTCCTCCAGGTCCATTACTTACGTCATTGTTTTACACTTAAGGAGTGTATGGTGTAGTCACTAGGAACACCTCGGGACCTTGGAACTGTGCTGCCCGTGTTTGACCAACCTCCATCACTTGCTAGCAATGTTTGCTTTTTATGTTGCACTGAATTATTATATGTAAATCATTTAAAGCAATGTCTATCATGTAGCACACTTCTAGTAAGTTTTGATATTATCAATATATTATGTTTTCCTTTTGATTAAAAAATGTATTAAAAATGGAGCCCCATCTAATTGGCTGTTAATTATTTTACATGTAATTAGTTTATTCTGTGTTTATATGTATAATCTGTATTATACTCATCATGTATAAACTGCAGAATATATATTGTGTGTGTATGTAAACATGTATGTGCAAATAAAAATATGTTTAAGACAAAGTACAATAAAAATATTACAATAAAGTGAAAAATCTTGTTCTTAGATCTACTCTTTGGTGATAATAAACAAAAATATATCTTTTCAAAAGATCTCTACCTTTAAATATGTAGCTGGAACCTAGGCTGTTTACTCTGCTGTTTCTGATGGTAATATCTCTATCAACAACTATTCTTTATACATCAGTAAAACCACCCTATTAGGAAGCAAGATTTTCTTTAAAACATGATACACTGTCAGTTTCTGGTTTGAAGTTTCAGTGTCTGTTTTATGAGGTAGTCAGTAAGCAACTTGCCACGAAATGATTGTCGTTTTATGCTGATTTTCTTAAGCATATGTCATCTTCCCGAGGTAGTTAGCTGGCACATACCCTTTCTGCCCTTGTGCTTCAGCTAACCACCACTCTTTATTCCCACTTAGATCACAAAATCTAAGTATATGGACTCTCTGGTACTCCTGAAGGCTGAGTTCATGGTCACTCCGTGCTTGGAAAGCATGGACCGCATAGAAAATCTAGATAGGAAAAAAGAAAAAAAAAGAGAAAAAAGACGTTATTGGAACCAGAACCTAAAACTTTGGAGAAATTGAACAAGTCTCTACCCTTTGAGAAGCGATGCTAAGGTGCTCCTAGCTTTTGACAGTCACCCAGTCCAGCTCTTCTGATGGATCCGGTAGGCCATGACCTACCAAACCTGTGGTAGATAAAGAGTGGAAATAGACACTTTTTTCTACTGGGAGGAGTTTAGGTTGTGCATTTGATGGCAATTTGGCAGTTTCTACAAAATGCTTTTTATTGTTAATTCTTTGAATCAATCTCTAAAGAATCTCTTGCATAGATGGAAACATGGACAGACAATTTCTGTAGAACATGGACAGACAATTTCTGTAGAACGACATTTCTGTATGTAGAGTGAAAAGTGGGAGGGATGTAGAAATGTGTTGAAGAGTTAGAGAAAATAAATTACAGACCCTCATAGTAAGTAAATTTGTAGTCATTAAAATAGCTTTTTATGAGAATAACAATATAGAAAATATTAATATTAAATATTTTAAAATTGTAAAGTGACAGCTGGAAGATGGCTCAGTGGTTAAGAGTACATGAACTTTTGCAAAGGACCCAATCTAGATATCAGCACCCACTTGGGAGTTTCACGACCAGTTGCCAGAACTCCAGGTCCAGGGTATCTAGTGCTCTCTTCAGACTTGGAGGGCAACTGTACTCACACATACACATACCAACACACAGACACACATGTATAAAATTAGATGAATAATGTGTGCCTAGAATTACTAAGTAATTTCTCTGAAAAATCCTTCACAATTACTAGATAAGTTGGAAGACCTCAAGTCAGTGTTTAAGTCATCTTCAGTAAAATCAAAAGACTGCTGGTAAAAAGGTTTCCTTATGATAGAAAATTAAGCAATTGTCCAATAACATTTGTACATTCATTTAATCAAACTTTGCAAAAAATTATATCAGGAACCTTACAACTGAGCTAAAGCAGTAATGAATACTGATAAGATAAAACAACAGAACCACGAGTCACCATCACCAATAACAAGCTACACATGAACAGTACAGTGCATTTTGAAGGAAGTGGTCTTTCATAAGGGACAAAGTAATAAAGGAGGCTAGTATGTCACATCCACAAATGTGAATGCATAGAAAAGTGATAGGAAAAAAAGATGGAAAATTGAGGGCTAATGGATGAAGGCTCTGTGAGAAATGAGTTGATGTCACTGAGCTGGAAAGGAGATGGAACAGTGTAGTGAGAGGGCCTGTTGTTATGTGAATCTTAAACCAACACTTACTTCAATAAAACTCTGATTCCATTGACTGGTACCTTAACAAGGAGCCTGAGGCCTTATTCAAGGGAAGGAGCTGTATTGCTAGGGTCAGAAGGTTTGCCCTGCAATTCTACGGTAATAATGAGGTAAAACTTAGGAAGAAGTGAGTAGGTCTTAAAGACAGAGGCTTCATGGATAGGATTAATTTTTATAAAAGCATGGCAAAACTATCATCCCTTCTAAGTGAGAATCTAGCCAAAAGGTGCTATCCACCTACAAGGTTGACTTCATCAGACACCAAAAACAGTGCCTTGATCTCAGACTTCGGGTATCTACAACAGTGAGGATTTTATTGTAGGTAGGCCATCCAGTATATGGTATTTTGTTAATGGCAATTTGAATGGTCCAAGGTACACCTCTCAACTGGCCATGTATGCCATGCTGCACAGTAGTGTTCAAAAGTTTACTTGACCTAAAAGGTTTGGACATCATATAGGAGACTGTGGTGCATACACGAAGATAGATTGCTGGAAATGGATTACTTCATTTGGAAGTAAAGAAGAAAACAGAATGGAGGAGCTATAAATTCTTAATGAAATTTCAGGAGTGATAAATACCTTTTACAGAGCCTGTGACAGTTTATGTCACATGGGCTGTATCCTCAACAACCCTCTCAGTTAAGACTACTTGGAAACATGATTAAGGACAAGGCTCCCCAGGGCTGCTAGCACCCATGTCTTCTAACTCCCAATCCTGTGCTTAGTCCGTTTCTTTTAGGGTTTTAGGAATCAAACCCTTGTTCTAAGAAAGCTACACAGTGTGTTCTTGGAGAAAGGCTCCATAGTCTCTCATCTGAGTACTCTTCTACAGTTCTGAAAGTGACAATATTGAATAGGTCCACAAGATTAATGTGGTTAATTTGGTTTGCAAAAGCTTCCAGGAGTGTGACGTGCTAAATTATAGTCCCAGAATAATCTATAAGAGCTGGAATCAGCAGTGTGGTCATCTTTGAAATTTGAATCAATAATAAATATGCTTTCCCAGTGCAGGCATGGATTTTTCAGGATAGATTAGCTACTGTCCCATCCCTCAACACCTATGTAGTCTTTCACTTTGGCACAAATTTCCTCAAAGGGAAAATAAAATCTGATTAGATGTATTTACTATTATTATATGTATTTTTTGTTGTGGCTTTTTTTTTTTGGTTTGTTTTTTGAGACAAAGTCTCACTATGCTTGCCTGGAATTCACTATGTAGACCAGGCTCACCTTGAATTCATAGAGATCTGTTTGCCTCTGCCTCTAGAGTGTTGGAATTAAAAGTGTGTGCCATCATGCCTGGCTTAAAATATATAGTTTAAACAAATATAAATTATCATGAAATCATACATTTAAAATTTAAAATTATGTAACACTTTTATATTATCATAGCCCAAATTTGTTTCAAATTGGCAGTTTCTAGTTCTTATATAACATGCTAAATAAAGGCGTACTTTACATACTGAAAATGGGACTAAGTCTGCTTTGAAAGAGAGAGTAGTGTCTCTGGTCTTCTAATTCTTTTTGTTTCCTTTGTTGTTAGATGAAAAATTAGAGGTTTTCAGTTTGTCATGAATTTAAGAGCTGAATGATTTCTTATTTTCAAATCTCAGTCTGCATTTGTCTAACTTTAAATGTGTATATGTTTTTGTCCAGAAGCATTCATTAAAATGTTATTAATATGAATTATAGTCATGTATTTCTTTTTTCCTTGTTATTTATTAAAATGTTTTACTGATTGCTCCTTTGCTCCTTGTAAGGCTGCATTTCACTTTATATATATGATACCCTGGCACCACAGACCAGCTCTCCACAGCATTTGATTTAAAATCACCTAGATCATGACTCACACCCAGATTATTACCCGTAAGCATCATACGGTTCCCTGTGGCACCATTACCACCTCAGCAGTCTCTTAGTCTATATATTTTTACATTTCATTTTTATTTCTTAACTTCACTGCATTGTGCAATCTCATTTTATTGATTTTTATTCCAATTCTCCAACTATGACCAATAAAATTCTTAACATTTTAATTTTCATTTCCAAAACTAAAAAGCTTTAAAACCAGCATTTACTCTATTAGTTCCAAAGCCAAAATAATTACACTGCATGAAAAATACTATTCTTTTCTCTCACCCTCTAGAAACAAGCTTTTTCTTCATTCAATGATTATATATTTTTATTAACAAGTAGGTTTTTATGAAGTAAGCTGGGGTTTAATAAAAATGTTTTAATACGGATTTAAACAGGAGGGTTAAGGAAAGAGTGCTTCTCAGAGACTAAAGCACACCGGAGAGCCTAGGAGTGAGTTCCACTAAGTCCTTCTCCCTTGGTAGGCATTAGTAGTCATACAGGATTTGGGTGAGTTTGCAGCTGTTATCACAAAAGGATGGCTAAGAAACCACAGCACACCACAGGTGCCTCCTGAGGAGCTCCCGACATGGTTATAACTGAGAGGACAAAGGTAGGTGACAGGGATCCTGGGAGGTAGGGTTATCTTCAGGGTAAATAAGTAGTTTTATGAAAAAAAAAGTTTTAAAAGTAAACAAAAAGGCCCCTAAGTGCTATAAATATCTTTATTCCCTTTCTCTCTCCATCCTGTCCTCCCTCTTTTCCTCAAATGGTCATAAAAATGAATTGTATTTTTACAACCTATTTGCCTTTCAGAATATTGTAAAACATTTTTCTATATCAAACATTCTCTTAATCTTCATTCTAATGGAGTATGTAGCTAGAGTTTTCTTGCCTGGCCCACAGTCAGGACAAATCTCTGTCACCCGCCAGTCCCACAGCCACTCAGACCCAACCAAGTAAACACAGAGACTTATATTGCTTACAAACTGTATGGCCATGGCAGGCTTTTTGCTAACTGTTCTTATATCTTAAATTAATCCATTACTAGAAATCTATACCTTGCCACGTGGCTCGTGGCTACCAGCATCTTCACATGCTGCTTGTCATGGCGGCGGCTGGCAGTGTCTCCCTTCACCTTCCTGTTATCTCAGTTCTCCTCTCTGTTACTCCTGCCTATACTTCCTGCCTGGCTACTGGCCAATCAGTGTTTTATTTATTGATCAAACAGAGCGACACATTTGACATACAGACCATCCCACAGCAGGAGTGCTTAAATAACTTAGGATCAGCCTGTCAAGTTGTTGATGAACTTTCAAAACAATGGCATATTCAACATCACTATCATAAGTAGTTATAAAATGTAAAGACAAAGACCAGGTCACAAGTTTGAAAAATAACACACTTGTCTAAAAATGTGCTTTTAATTGTACCTCCATAGAAAAGAGCACATGCAAAGAAGCTCATTTTCAAAATAATTGAGGAAACCCTCTGTGGTAATGTGAATGAAAATGGCCCACATAGGCTCATATGTTTGAATACTAGGTCCCTAGTTAGTGGAACTCTTCGGGAAGGACTAGGAGGTGTGGTTTTGTTGGAGGAGGTATATTGTAAAAGCCCATGCCATTCCCAGTTAGGATGAACAGGGACTCCAGTAAGCTGTAAATAAACACTTTCTTCTTCCATGGTATCTTATCACAGCAATAGAAAAGTAACTAAGATGTCCTCCAAAGCCATTCACAGACCCCATAGGCCCTTGAGGTCCAGGGTAAAGATCAAATATGGAAGTCACAGAGCAGATACAGCAATAAACTTGTTGTGGAATATTTGTACACTGTGTGAAGATGTATTCACTGTGATTGGTTTAATAAGGAGCTGAATGGGTCAATAGCTAGGCAGGAAGACAGGACTCTGGAAAGAAGAAAAGCAGAGTCACCAGGAGACACAAAGAGGAAACAGGAGGTACAAGATGGAAGAGAGGTAACGCCATGTGATAGAACATAGATTAATATAAATGGGTTAATTTAAGTTATGAGAGCTAGTTAGGATCAACCCTATGCTATAGGCCAAGCTTTATAATTAATAAAAAGTCTCTATGTCATTATTTACAAGCTGGCTGGTGGAACAGAGCAAGACTCATCACATAAACTAGTCTTCAGCTGTCTGTATCTCAGTGTTTCTGAAAGCCTCAGAGATGCCCTTGAAAGTTAGGTAGAAGCCAAGCTTTCTCATCCACCTGCCCTTGTCAGGGTTCACTTGAATCATCAAGAAGACTGCAGTACAGCCTAGAACTCCTGTAGTATATGCTCCTGAAGTCTGGAGAATAACAGAAAGTGCTGCCACTGTAGGAATAAGCAGAGCAAGAAATAGTGGCACCAAGCAACCCCCCTACACACACACACACACACACACACACACACACACACACACACACACACGCAGTGTAGGTTACAGCTGACTTCCTGATTTTTTTCCCTAAGTTTAAATAGCCATGCAGAAAATTGCTATTGGGTCTATCAGATATAAGATTTGACAAAGATCCAATTTCCTGCCACTTTCGGTCGCTTATTTGGACCTCTATGCGGTGTCACTCTCTATGTCACCCATAAATATCAGGGGCTCAGTTTTCACAAGAAGCCTGAGAGCTGATAGAGTGGGAAGGCCAGCCTGAGGCAAAAATGAAAATACAACCCTTTCTCCTTATTTCCAGGGACGAAGAGCAGCTGCATGAGGGGTCTGAAAACCACCAGCCCATATGCCTCTTCTGTCAGAGCTAAAGCATGAAAGGAATTGTTCCTTCCTGCCTCTTCTTTTTCTCTTTCTTTTTCTGGAGTTCCCCACAGGGGTCACCTCTCTTTGCAGTAAGTGAACTGGGGCATAATCTGTGCTCAAAATGGGGAGACCTTTAATTTGAATGAAATCATCTAAATCTGAATGAAGTTATCAGAAATCCCATGTGACCACTGATCCAAGATGGGCTTCCCAATACAATTTTATTAGTAATAATGCTAATATTTATTCAGTGCTGGTTATCTATGTTAAATTGGTTTCCAAACTCAGAGGAAACAGAATAAATAGGATTTTTAGATAAGAATCTCCGATATATTTTCTATTTTGAGAAAGAGAAAATTTCCTCCCTGCTCCCCCATTAAAGAAAGCATTTAGCATCCAATTCACCTGATCTTTACTGATAGGATCACTTGAGGAAGACTGTTTTGCTGTAGCAGCTAGTGGGAGCCAACTTTACACTGTTGCTAGTCCAGCTGAAGGAATAGTTAACCCCAAAATCCTTGTAAAGTTAGGCTAGAATTAGAATCAGTATCCTTCTAGCTTTATGATGCTGTCTTATTTACTATTCTATTGCTGTGAGTGGACACCATGACCAAAGCACTCAAAAAAGGGCAGCAGACAGGCTTGGTGAAGAAACAGTTACCTGAGAGCTTTCCATCCTGATCCTTGTGCAGAAGGCAGAGAAAGAGGGAGAGAGAAAGAGGGAGGGAAGGAGGGAGAGGAATCTGATCCTGAGTATAGTGTGGGCCTTTGAATCTCAAAGCCCACCCCAGCAATGCACTTCCTCCAACCAGGCCACACCTCCTAGTCCTTCTAATCCTTCTCAAACAGTTTTACTAGCTGGGGACCAAGCATTCAAACATATGAACCTGTGTGAGCCATTCTCCATCCAAACCACCAGAGGCGCCATGCCAAACTTGGGCCTCAGATTCTATCTAGACTATTGAGGTAAGCAGAAAAGTCTATGAGAATATTCAGTCAGGTCTAAAGATTTCACCTAATTGAAAAAAAAAATGAGCTAACGTTATAATGTGCCTTTCAGAAGCTGTAAGTAAGCTGAGAGGGTTAGCAAATGAGTCCATCATGCCTGGGAAGAAAGATTTGCAGATAACATATCTGATAAAGAAGTCACACTGAGAATTTACAAAGAACTCTCTCTCATAAGACATAAGAAGGATTTAGGTTTGTAGCAATGAGATGGATGTGGTTAAGACAATAAAAGAATTTTAAGGTTGAAAAAAAGTAGATCAATATCTGAATAGAAGACAGAATGGTAAAGAAGCACAGGAGAAGACATTCAGTAGCATCAGTCTTTAGATGAAATCCAACACCATCAAGAGACAACACTTTAAGCTCACTATGAGGGTTATAATATAAACTAGCATCACCAAGGAAGAGCCAACAATGTTCATCCATTCCTGATAAAATGTAAAATGTGAATGGGCACTCTGAAAAATGATTTGGCATTTCCTCTAAAAGTAAAACATAATTTTACCATGCTAGGATACAAATCCATTTCTGGATGTCTGTTCAAGAGAAGTGAAATCTACACAGACTCATACATTAATGTCCATAGCAACATTAGTCACAATAGCATCAAAATAGACATTGCCAAATGTACATTAACTGGTGAATAGTTAAACAAAATTCCATATCTACTTAAGAATATTATTAGGCAGTAAAAAAGGTTATATATAATATATATATACACATATATATATATGTATATATATATTTACAAGATCAATGAATATCAAACACATGCTGAAAGGAAAAAAGCCAGGTACAAAGCACCATATTCTGTTTCATCCATGGGAGACACACAGAAAAGATGGAATATAGAGAAGGAAAATAGGTCAGTGATTTCCAAAAGCTGGGAAAAAGCAGGGAGTGTAAATGAATCCAAAGGAGTTTGGGCATGAAAGAAATGTTCTAAAGTTGGTTTGTACAACTCTGTAATTATAACTAAAAGTCCCTGGATTTTACATTGAAATTAAGTGAATTCTATGGCACGTAAATAAGAGCTAAATAATGCTATTGCTGAAGGGCAACATGTCAATCCCTGTAAAGATTTTCTATATACCCTTTGACCATATTTTTATTAATATCCTTACAAACATATTTCTAAAAGCATACAGAAAGAGATGAAGGATGTTCCTGGAATTATTGTTTTACATTTTTTAAAAACAAGACATCTTAAATATCTTAAACTGGGTTAGTAGTTATATATGACTTATTCTAGAAAATGGGTATGACAGCATATGTTCATAATTCTACCACTCAGGAGACTGAAGTAAAAAGACAGCCTGAGGTGTATCATGAGATTCTGATTCAAAACCAAAATTTTTCAAAGATGCTTCACAGAATTGTTTAAAGGAATAAATTCATTATATAGGTAGAGTTATGTTTAACTATTTAAAAAGTAACACATAAGATATGTTTTATTTGTGTATATTTTTATGTATGCATAAAATATATCTGAAAGACACACATGGGATGATTTCTTTGAGGAGTATCACTAAGGGGAAAGGAATAAAGACCTTACATTTAATTTATGGGTATTGTTCCATTTTTCACTTCCTGAAAATAAAATGTACTACCTCAATGGAAAAGAAATTTAGGCTAATGGAAATTACTAAGTTAAAAAGGCAGAAAATTAGTTGGTTACTACTTGGAGATTAATAACTGAATATTCTGAAACTTTATGAGGTAGCAAAAATGAACCTTACATTCTAATTAGCTTACCAGTTTGTGAAGGTGCTATGCCAGTAGTCTTTGCATTGGCACAATGAGAGAAAGGTAAACTAGCAATTGTTCATGTAAAGAAGATGGTATTAATAAGAGACAAAATGTCCAAGTCCTACTCAGCTCAATGAAGATGTTGCTTGTAGAGCAGTGCTTCTCAACCTTCCTGATGCTACAACACTTTAATACAGTTCCTTATGTTGTGGTGACCCCCAGCCATAAAATTATTTTCAATACTACTTCATAACTATAATTTTGCTACTCTTGTGAATTGTAATGTAAATGTCTGTGTTTTCTGATGGTTTCCGTGGCAGCCCACAGATTGAGAACCACTGTTCTAGAGGATTCAGAGACAAGTTCCTACCTGATGTTGATGACCACAGCTCAGCTGCCTTTCTCCAATGGTGGAGCATTAAAAACAAATTCCTAACCACCCTGAATACTTAGCAGTGAAGTAGTAACTGCTATGGTTTGTTGAATCTCTATTCCGTGTCAGGAGTCCAGCACACATATTATCTCTAGTCAAAACACCAACTCTGCAGTATAGGGAGTTTTTGTTTTTGTTTTGAGGAAATGGGTTTCAATAATTAAATTCTTTGCTCAACAGTCCACAGATGGTATGTGCTAAAAGGCTTAGGTATTTTCGATGTCAAAACTGGCAGTTTCCCGGTAAGTATTTCAGCTCAACGTGAGCAGTTAGAGATTCTCTCATTTGAGTGGCCAAGTATTTTTTGCCTCAAGGTTTAAAGTCTTACCTGTTCATCTACCTCTTGAAAATGATCAACATCAGCACCATTTGTTTCAGACTTCCCACAAGTGCCACTAAGAGATGAGCTGCTGTCGCTTATGCTGCCTTCAGGAGTGCTCGTGACACTGTCGCAAGCTGGCCGACAAGATACAAAGAGGCTGATGTTCTCGAAATCGTCGTCACAGAATCTGTTCTCAGCATCTGCCTTCTGCTCTTTCGCTGGGTTGTAGCGCTTTAGGAAGGAGGAATACACGTAGCCTTTTACAACTGGTAGAAAAAGAAAGCACCAGGGTTAGGTGTAGACCTTCCCCAAACACGCAGAGACCCCTGGGAAAATCTTAACCTGAAGAGCAGTAATAGTTCTGTGGGAAAAGAAACTTACATCCTGTGTCAACAAACCACCTGCTTGTACTCCCCAGGGGATCTTTCTGTTCCAGGACGGCTACCAACTCTCCTTCTAGAAGATTGATGTCATGCTCTTGGGTGGCGTTGCACTTGCGCTTAGCTCGGTAGAGTTCCTCTGCTCCGTATGTGGACAGAAGTTTGGAGCGGTGATCGTCAGTTTGATGTGGCATTTCTGGCTGGGAAAAGGAAGAAGTCCTGGTTCAGGTGGACCCACCCTCGTTGAGTTTATAAAGACTTTCCTCTAGAGAATTATTTCTCTATACAAGTTTTATATTAATCTGGATATATTGCAAGGTCAGACTCTCACAATTCAGCTGAGATTTTTAGTTAAAAAATCTCGAGTAAGCACATGAGGGCAGTGTTGTAGAAAAGAAAGAAAATTCAACTGGGGCTAAGAAGGCAGAGGCTCTGGGGCTGCAAAGATGGCTCAGAGGATAAAAGCACCCGTCTGATGACCTGGATCCAATCACCAGAACCCATATAGTTGAAGGAGAGAACCAGTTCCCATAAGTTATCCTCTGACCTCCAAATGTACTCCTCTGTGTATCTCTGTGTGTGTGTGTGTGTGTGTGTGTGTGTGTGTGTGCATGCACATTTGTGACTCCTGCCCCGTTTACCAAGAAAAAGATGCCCACCGGCAAACATACAAATATAAGAAAAATAAATAACTTAGTAATTTTAAAAAATGTTGAAAGAAGGCAGAGGTTCTAACAACTCCTGACTGTTGAGTAACATTTCACTATTTTGTATGTATTTGCTTGCACAGTAAGTACTTTATAATTTTAATTCAGTAAATTGCCTATGTGCATCTTTTTCTTGGTAAATGGGGCAGGAGTCACAAAGAGACACTTTCCAAACTCTGGCACTAAATGACTTTGACAAAAACTGCTGTATCTCTGGAGGATGGAAATGAAATAGGTTGAAAATGAGGGGCTGCACCGTGTGATTTATGTCTTTAAAATCCTAATCGAGAAAGTCTGAGTATCCACCGTGTGTCAAGCACAAGTTTTGGTATGTGAGGGAACTAGCATGAATGAAACAGAAACAAACATCATGATCTTCTGGAGTTTATAATATAAAAAAAAGAAACATAATAAAATGTAACATAATAAGCGAATGACACGTTATTTGGATGATTTGATTAGTATGGGAAGCAATGCGCTGCGAGGCAAAGAGATGATGTTTTCACTGTCACAGATAATGCTAAACTCACCAGAACCTGAGCAGGCTTCTTCTTTTCAAAGCTAAGTTTCCTCTCAATAAAGGTGGCACTGTTGTCCTTTACAAAATTCAAGTTTTGAACCTCTTCCAGCACGCGATTTTGAATCTCAGAGATGCTCAAGACTGGCAGTGGCACCTGTGGGAAAAACAGTGTGGTGTTTTCAGACAACCTATCACACTGGGCACTGACTCTGCCAGGGCTGGGATGGCGGGGAATGTAAGGCAGTACCACAGGGAAAGATCGGGGCAACTTGGGAGCTTCTACAAAGATGGGCAACCTGGCATTTCTGAAGCCACACAAAATGGTAGGGATACTTTTCTTTCTTATGTTTCAAGACTCCATAGGAGAACAAAACAGGAAAGGGGCAAGAAAGACCCAGGAGTGAAGTGCTGAAGCTGTGGTATTAGCAGTGCCCCAGGTGGGACAGTGGGAGTGGGCAGGTAGTGAGCTTACAACAAAAAGCATGGTTGGGAGTGTCCCTGTGTTTGTCCTACATGTTTAACATGTATGGAAGCTGGAAACCAGGAATGGACAGTTGTTGGGGGGGACATTTAAGGAGGGGAATGGTAGAATATATGTGAAAGGAAAGAAGAAAAGGGGTGTCTGGGGCAGAGGAAGAAGGCTTAAACTAATGGAAGAAGGTATTTGTGGCCTATGCTCTTGCAATCCAAGTTAAAAAAAAAAAAAAAGGACATAGAACATATGTGATTTGGACACCAGGGGGAGAATGTTGGAAGCTAAAGGTTTAAGCAGGAAAGGTCAGGTAGGCAGTGGCAGAGGGTAAGGAGTAGATCAACCAAAACTAAGGATATATGAAGAAACCTTATCAAAATATAATTTGCTAAAAATGAGTTTAAACCAAAGTATCTCCCACATCAGTGAATGATGCTGCTCCCAGAAGACATGAATCACTAAATAAAAATGTCAGTGCTGAGCATGGATTTCTCCCTTTCATTTTTTGGGCTGAGAGACCCCAGAAGCACCTAAAACAATACAGGCTATTGTCCTTGTTCTTTGGTGCCCTCCATAGGCAGATATTAAGGCTGTATTACTGAAGACATGTACTTTTGTTGCAGGGCACACACAAAAAAAAATCTTGAACTGACCAGGAAACTCTTTTTGATGGCTAGCTTTTGTTTTAGTTAGAGTTTCTACTGCTGTGAAGAGACACCATGATTATGGCAACTCTTATAAAGGAAAACATTTAATTGGGGCAGGCTTACAGTTCAGAGGTTTAGTCCATTATCATCATGGCAGGACACTGCAACATACAGGCAGATACAGTCTTTAAAACTATATGATTCAAAATGCAGAAGGATATCTGACTGACTTTATGCTTAAACCACACCACACAAGGGCCACGCATGCACATTCTGAATGAAGACTGAGGTTGAGGTGGCCAAGGAGTAGCGCTGTGCTCACCGGCCTGACTATGGAATAAACCTGCAGAGCCGCCAGCATCAAGTCCCGGAGGAGGGTGATAAAACTGCACAGGCAGTTCAGCAGGATCTTCCTGGCAGCCTGGTTGAATGCCTGGAGCTCTTCCACAAGCTGGGCATTGAGGGCCTCATATTCCCGTTTGGCCAAGTCTGATTCGTCGGCAGCTGACCGTGGCAGGGAGCTATTATAGTCCAGTAGTTTGTCATAGCGTTTTTGGATGAGCTTCTGAGGCCCTGGGAATAAGGACAGCAAGGCTGACAGTGGGGTCAGGATGAGTCTCTGAGAGCGAGCTACCTGCAAAAAAATATATAGATAGATAGATAGTCACATTACTGAGGGAAGGATGGCTCACTCCATGACCAATGCTGCTCTCAATAGGCCTACCTCCTCTCTTCTGAAGCTCAAAGGGAACAGGACAACACCCAGTCATTTAAGAAGAGGATCTCACATTTAGGGGGGCTGCCTAAGCTTGTTTATTCAGGCTTAAAGCATCAGTATTGAACCTGAAGATGAGCGAGAAGAGAAAGCCTGCTCACCCAGATCATAATTCTTCAGTCTACAGCTGTGCTGTGGATGCCTCCTTCAGGACCCTCCCTCTTGTTCTCTTCTAACCCCAGAGCCAAGCTGAGCTATTATACGGCATCAAGGTTGTGGTGAGGGATGTCAGTGTATGGCATGATTGACCAACTCACCACCTTCGCCTCTTGCCATCAGCAAAATGTGCACAAGCATTCTAAGGCGAGACTCTATTATTAGCCTCCCCCCATTGGTTTCAAATCTGTTTTTTAACCTCGAGGTTTGTTTTTGGGTGGAATTGTATTCCCCATGCAAGCATTGGTTCTTTAAATGTATATCTTAAGCCTGTGACAGAAATGACCAGACCTAAACATTTAAATACACCAAAGGATCGAGGGTATCTGAAACTACTATATTTTCAGCTCTGAAACATTAAAGAAAAATTTTGCATTAGTGGCCAACCCCATGTCGGTACTCAAGAATCCTAGATTTAATGTCTTCTCTTCTTGTGTCTTTTCCTTGTGTGCTGAAATGCACCTTTATCCTGGGTCTGATGACTGCCCTGCCTCGCACCTTATCACACATGTTATAAGAATCTGGAAGTAGTTTTATCATTTGTAACCTCAAAGATATTCCAGGAAATCTGAGCAACAGCCTGTATTAATTAATGTAAATGGTTCCTGCTAACTTTGTCTGAACTCATTGGACATTTAAAAGAGGGAATCTCATACGTTAGTGGCACCGGCAATAGCCAACACAAATTAGATTTGATTTGCAGTTTATGGAATAATCAATAGATACCAGCCCACCAATTAATGAGCCCCTAGACTAGGCAACAAATGTATTTACTGTGTCTGGGATAAGTCACTGTGTTTATTACTTGCCTGGGAGCCATAGGTTACTAATTTGAAGATTATACTATAATTGTAATGTATGTCCAGTGCCCCATAGATATGAACTTTATTTGCCAAGGGACAGTAGTTGGAACAGATAAGCAGGCTGTATTTTAGAATTTTGTGCTACACAATATTTGTAGAAAAGTATCATTTATGGCTGTATAGGAATAACTTCTCTGCCTTGGGGTAAATTTTTGAGTTAATATTTCAGTTTTAAAGAGTTCAGTATGTTACCCAATAAAATGCCACTTTTATATCATGCTTTCTGGTGATTCTCTTAACTTGGCAGATCTAATATTATTAATATTAATAATGTTAATATAATATTTAATAATAATCAACATAATCATATAATCTAATATTATGTTATTAAGGTAGACAGGACAGTTTCTTCCTTCTTTCTGTCAAACTATAGAGCATGCTGGCTAAGGGAGAAGCTATGGAGCATGCATTCAGACCATTTTGATAAATATTTATCAACTTAGTGAATTTAAATTTAGCAAATTTTTAATGGCTTTTCTAAAATGTCCTTCCTATAATTGAACCCTGGAAAAAAGAACCCACAAGACATAATCATGTTGTCCAGTTAAGCCCCACAAGTATAAAAACTTTTGTCTATTGATCTACCTATGCACCCACCTGTCTATTCCTGAGTAGCATATAAATCTGTTGGGGAAAATTATTTTAAGGTGTGTTACTTTCATATGTGTTGCATTTGTTTAACTCTGTGAAACTGTGCTATTGTGCCTGTCTAAAACACCTGATGACCTAATAAAGAACTGAGTGGCCAATAGCGAGGCAGGAGAAAGGATAGGTGGGGCTGGCAGAGAGAATATATATAAGGAGAAATGTGGGAGGAGAAAAGAAGTAGCTAGAGAAGGAGGAGGACTCCATGGGTCAGCCATCCAGCTACATAGCCAGCCACAGAGTAAGAGTACAATTTACAAAAGTAAGAGAACAGGAGAAGCCCAGAGGCAAAAGGTAGAAAGGATAATTTAAGTTAAGAAAAGCTGGCAAGAAACAAGCCAAGCTAAGGTAGGGCATTTATAATTAAGAATAGGCCTCCGTGTGTGATTTATTTGGGAGCTGGGTGTTGGGCCCCCCAAAGGGCACAAACAAACAACATGAATCTATCACTTTATTTTGGATATCGTGATATTTTTTAATCTTCTTACATTTTAATTTTTTACTTATTTTGTGTTCCTCTCAGAGGGCATTCTTGTCATAGAGTACACGTTGGGGTCAGGAGACAACTTGTAGGAGTTGGTTCTTTCTTTCCACCATGTGGATTCTTTAGGATCAAACCAGGCATCAGGCTTGATAGCAAGCATCTTTACCCATTGGGCACCCACCAGACCCTTGAAAATATTACATTAATTTTTTAATTTTTTAATGCCTGGTAATGGTAAATTTTGATTGTCAACTTGACGGAATTTAGAGTTGCCCAGGAGACAGACTTCTGGGTATGTCCTTGAGAATTTTGGCACTCACCTTTAGTGCCAGTACTTGGGCAACAAAAGAAGGCTGTGTTCTGTTGAGTTCAAGGTCAGCCTGGTCTGCATAGCAAGTACAGATCTTATTTATCAAAAGAACGTAATCCCAACTTTCCATTTTATAATGCCCCAAACAGCTTATTCAGAGTAGTTTTGCAGGGGGATGTGGGCTGTCACTTCTTAAGGTTTGGAAACATTTGGGAGCTCATTGGTTTAATATTATTATTATTATTATTATTATTATTTTTGGTTTTTCGAGACAGGGTTTCTCTGTGTAGCTTTGCGCCTTTCCTGGAACTCACTTGGTAGTCCAGGCTGGCCTCGAACTCACAGAGATCCGCCTGGCTCTGCCTCCCGAGTGCTGGGATTAAAGGTGTGCGCCACCACCGCCCGGCCAAGGTTTAATATTATTTTGAGGTGGAGGTTGCTGAGATTTTGAGCCTCATGGGTCAGGACTGCTAGAATCATCCAACACAAGTTGGAGAAGACATCCTGGCCCTAACACCAACATAGCCAACACAGAAATATAGGCTATTTTGCTTTCTCCAAAATATATTAAATACTGCTGTGAAATAATAACAGAAGACACTAAACTAAAATTAGTATCACCCAGAAAAGCTTACCACCCAAACATTTTATTAGTCAAGAATGTTTTAATGCTTCCCAAAATATATTTTAAAGAACTCTTAAAAATAAATAGTCTGGCTGGGCATTGGTGGCACAACGCCTTTAATTTCAGCACTCAGGAGGCCGAGGCAGGTGGATCTCAGTGAGTTCGATGCCAGCCTGGTCTACAAAGTGAGTTCCAGGACAGCTAGGACTGCTACCTAGTCTCAGAAAAACAAACAACAAAACAAAACAAAACAAAACAACAGTCTGTGTGTGTGCTTGGGGGGGGGGTGGTAATAGAACACTGGCAGAGTACTTGCCTAGCATGCGTGAGTTTCTAAGTTCAGTTCCCAGAACTAGAAAGGAAGAAAAGAATCTACCATGGGCAGGAAGAAAATCAGACAGCTAAGTGTGTCTTTTCTCCATGGGAAGGCTTTGCTGCCCAGTGCACATTATGTTGAACATCACAGACACAGAGACTCTGCTCTCCTTCAGCAAGGACGCAAGGCATTTCCATTGACCCTTTTTTTGTTTTGTTTTTTGTTTTGTTTTGTTTTGTTTTGTTTTTCGAGACCCTTTTAAGAAATTCACAGCTTGCTAGGTGGTGGTGGTGGTGCACGTCTTTAATCTCAGCACTCAGGAGGCAGAGACAGGCAGATCTCTGTGAGTTCAAGGTCAGCCTGGTCTACAGAGTGAGTTCCAGGACAGCCAGGGTTGTTACACAGAGAAACCCTATCTCAAAAACAAAACAAAAGGAAACAAAAAAACAACAAAAATTCACAGCTTTACAAATTAATATATTCTTAATATCTCATACACTAACTTAAAATGAATATTGTTTAATTATCTGTTTCATCAGACACTGACTACCCTAGAAACGGAATATGAGGTTATATTAAATTACCATTATAGTACAATCCTTACTAACTCACTCTAAACATAGTTAATTATTTAAAAACTCCTGTCTCAAAAAGCCTAATTTTGACATTAGAATTTGATTTAGTGCATATTTTATACCTAACTACAGGATATGTGCAGTTATATATAGTTATATAGTGGGGGGAGGGGTGAAAGGAGCTTTTAAAACCTGCTGTTTAATTTGTATTTATCTGTGTGTGTGTGTAACTTACAAAGTCTTGACAGGGATTTAAAGCATGACTATGGGGTTCACCGCACTTCATCTCTCCATCCTTGTAGGAAATCTCACGGAGCTCTGCTACACTCTGCAGAGTGAAGGGCATGGCCTGCTGAAACACAGAGTTATAAAAAGGGCAAGTTCTGAATGCGTTCGGCACAATGAACGTCTCCCCAGTGTGAACTTCATCATCACAATACTAAATTTCCCTGAGAGATAGAAAACGAACTATAAAAATACCATGGATGCGCTCCACCGTGGGACTGCCTGCAGCAGTCTGTTTCCCTCCTCCCTGGCCCCACGTCGTTTCTGACAGCTTCTGGCTCTCTGTGAGCAGGAAGGAGCCCATCTTAAGTTCTCTCAGCCATTCCTTCTCCTTCAATTCCTCAGACTCCTTATTTCAAAAAGCACTCCCCTCTGATCTAATCAGCTGCTTTTCTTGGTAAATTTACTGTTATCTTTTAGGAAAAGAAGGTGCCCACGTCTTTTGTGGATTCAGTGAAAATACCAGTGAGTGCTCCCCAGAGGCGCTCACTCCTTGAGCAAGACCTGAAGGGCTGCCATATCTCACTGCTGTGTCCCACTGCAACTGTGTTGGGGGGGCTTGTTTCACACAGATTTGCTAACCTGATTGTGAAACAGACTCTGGGTCAGACTGTAAGGATGGATGGTGCTCATCCCTCCAGAATATGGAATCTTGCCTCCAAAGCCGTGTTGGTCATGTTAAGGCTCTGCTGGTAGGGTATTTCATCTAACTGTGCAAGCACTTACCTCCAAAAGCAGATATCCAGGAGAGAACCTTCTGGGGGAAGGAAGGGTCTGCTTCTTAACTGACTTACATGTAACCGCTAGCTTCCTATCCTTCAAGTCATAGCTGTTGTCAAGTTGTTTTCAAGGACACTATGTCCTCTGTAAGGTCCATTACAAGAAACTCTTGGCTAGCCTTTCCAGTGGGTGTAATTGTGCAGCGTTCCACCTCAGATTTTTAAAAGCAGAGATGCTCAAGTAGGTCAGGACAACCTCCCAAGAAGCTTGAAATTTGTGGGGTGTCTTTGCTGCACAACAGCATTTCCTTACCATAGTTTGTGTTGTTCAATTTACTTTCCTTTGTATGGGATTTTTATCCTTATTTTAGGATCTACAAAGAATTATACTGGTAAAATCAGACAAACACAGTGTCTGCCTCACATACAATCTAGTGCTCACAAACTCATCTTTATTATAAAGAAGACAGGATGGGGTCCATGTTTTATGCATCTGAGCAAAAGTCCAACAGTACAGTGATTTGGATTGGGGCAGGCTGGGCAGGAAGCGGGCACAGACCAAGCCTTTATATGGCTTGCCTTATCAGAACTTTGCAGCCTCCCAAGTTTGATACAGTTTAGTATCACCATGCAAACAGAGTCCCATTTCCTCTTGACCCCCGTGGGGACTGGGGTACTCTTGCAGAAGCATTCGGCTCTCACCCACCTCTATGTGCTGAAGGCAGGATGAAATGTTCTTCACACAGAACCTCAGAGTCTTTTCTAGTGATCTAAAAAGCTTTTCTTCCCTGTTAAAGGTGTTGTCTTTGACCTAAAACACACGAGAAGTTACTCAGTTTCATGACTCAAACACATCTAGTATTTTTTAAAATGCTATAAAGTCAATAAAAAATTAAAGATGGTACAGATCACATTGACCCCAGCACATGACAAAAAAATCCTTTGCTGTATGAAAACACTCTGTCATATGCTGACTTTCATAACAGAATTTTCTGGATCTGCACATAACACACACTAATGTCCGGCCCGTGTTACAAGTCATATCATGACGTTAGATTTGCTGTTTATTTTGTACCATCTCACCCATGTCACAGCAGACATGGGACTGTAAAACTTTTCCCTGCATCTTTTTCTGTTTCCCTCTCTGTCTCTCTGTCTCTCTGTCTCTGTCTCTGTCTCTGTCTCTCTCTTTGTGTGTGTGTGTATGTGTGTGTGTGCCCATGTGTTAGGGACAGGTCACATACCCATGCCTTCAGAGGAGGACATCAGGTGTCCTACTCTGTCACCCTTTGCCTTCCTCCTTTGAGACAGAATCTCTCCCTGGACTTGGAGCTGGCAGATGGCAAGCTCCAGTGATCTTATTGTCGCCACCTCACAGTGCTTCATTTATGGGAGGAGCAGGTAGCCATACATGGCTTTTTACAAGGGTGCTGGGGATTCAAACCCATGACTGCATGTCTGCACAAGTGCTCTTAGCCATGGAGCCACGTCCCTAACTCCTTCTATAGTTTTTTTAAAAAATTTCTTTCTTTATTATATGTTTGGGGGGGCACTATCTACACATGTGTTCGGGTGCCCACAGAGCACAGAGGTGTCAGATGCCCTCTGAAGCTGGAATCACTGAAGCTGAAGTTACAGGAGGTTGTGAGTCATCCAATGAGGGTGATGAGAACAGAATTTGGGATCCCTTCAAGAGCAGCAAGTGCTCTTAACCATGGAGCCATCTCCCCAGAACCCTCACCCCTGTGGTTTTTAGTAGCATACATTGTGTTCTCAAATTGCACTGTCTATTGTTTTGCTCATAGAAATCATTCTAGTTTATCTCACAGGGCTGATTTAGAGAATATTCTTAGGGCTGTCATTAAAGGAAGGTGGTAATATCCCCTCAAACATGAAAGACGGTGTGTAATCTCAGTTCTTCTGCTGGAGCACATTTGCAGAACTAAGATGGCTGTCACACGTGTTCAGTTGTGTTTACCATCTTATATGTAATATCTATTAGAATCCCATGGATGCATTGTGGTTTTATACACTTTTAGTAATTTTTAGAGATATGCACATTCCTATTGATGGTGAACTTTATTGCAACCAAACTATCTACCAGAACCAGTCCTGTGGTGGTGAAGCTGTTGTGAACAGGCACATGAATGTTATGTGGAACAGAGTATGTGTAGTTCATTTCTGTACTTGGTAATAATTGTGCTCCTCTTGGTCCATGTGCTTCTTAATTTCACATAGTTGACCTCAGAACTGTGTATGTATGTGTGTGTGTATGTGTACACATATATAACTATATATATATATATACACAATCTTTTATTTTTGAATCCCTTAGTTTTATTTGTGTGGGAAAACCTTAATTAAATAGGCAGCAGAATTCATAACCAGGTATCCTTGGCCTTATGTCTTTGCCCCAACTCTATGTGTACATATACCAATATGCTTGGACAGATTTTTGTAAATGGAGTTTCCAAAGATCCCACTTCCTGACATTTTATTCTGTGTAGCTAGCTAAGACCTAGATGACTTTGCAGAAGGCACTAAGGATTACACTGTGAGAAATGTTGCCCTGGTCTGGCTCCCCATCACTAAACCTTTCCATGCTGTTTTGATGAAATGTGCTGTTGCTTTTTTCTGCCTTAGGATTATGTTTATTTTTAGGGATTAGATTCAAGAGTTGCTCCTTCCATGACTCCTACTTTCATTACTATTTTTCAAATTGAAGAAAATTAATTTCTTCCTCCTATGTGCTCTTATAACCTTAGTTAATTTTTTAAGCAATTTTCTCCACTGATACAGTCTAAGTATTTAAGATTAAGAAGTTTGTCTTAATACTAACAATAGCTAACATTTATTAAACATTAATTATATTCAGACACTGTGCCAAAACCTTTCATTGACTTTATCATTTTAATTCTTACACAATTCTATGGGGCAAGCATTATGATTAATCCCATTTTAGAGATAGAGAAACAGATGCTTTGGGGATGTTAATATTACCCTGTTGTCCTTCCATTGACAAAGCTGGAAGCACTAGATTAAGTTGGAAATATGGCTGCCCTACTAGGGACCCTGTTTCCCAGACTCCTTTGCAGCTAGCTCTGCCCATGTAACTGGATTTGGACAAATAGAGTGTGAAGGAAGTGTGTTTCATTTCTAAGTTTTGGCCTTGTGACATTGTCTGTGGGACTTGAATGGAGACACAATAATGACCTAGTTTCAATTAACAGCTGAAGACAATATGTTTAGGGAAAACACTGTACAAAATTTGGCAAGCTGGGTTCCTGGCAGATTTCATGAAGCAGATCCCTTCTGCTCACATCTCAGGATTATTATTAGAGATGGAATAAGTGGTCACTTGATTGGTAGCCTATGCTGTATTTGCTATGCCATGTTTTATCTGCTATGGTATGCTATGCAGTCCTGTTTTATGCTGTACTATGCTTAAGAATCTCTTTATGACAGATACATAGTCTTTGCCCTAAAGTAGCAAGTTAGAGAAACATATTTATAGATATGATTGGGATTAAAAACAAGGCAGCCCAAATTCTGGATCTATACCTGTTCATCTTTGTATTCCCAATCTCTCACACAGTGCCTGGTACACGAAAGTTCAATACATATATGATGGATTGAATAGAATCTTCCTCCTGGGTAATAGCTTTGCACCCTAACTCTACCAATATTTCACCTGAGCTGCTGACAAGTACAAAATTGATTGATTTGAGATTTATCTCTTCTCCAGTCCAGCCTATGCAGCTGATTTTCTGATTAACAGTGAAATGCTTCATTGCTGACAAGACATCCTCTATGAAGATTAAGAGGAAAAATCTAATTAATATCCCTTCAGGCTATTTTAGCTACAATTCACTTTTAGTTCACAGTTTAAAAAAAAAGCTGATGATAAATATGCGAAAGAATAAAATGGTCCCCACAAAAGTCTGCCTCAGATTAGAAGCTGCCTAACTCTATTCAGCAGAACTGTCTTGAGTAAGAAGCAAAATCGCAAAGCATGGAAGAGAATTTCTGCACAGGTTTATAAATGCCTACAGGGGGCTACTGTCTCCTTCAGCTCATTTTCAATTTGATTTTATTACTGTTGTCTTTAGTTGAAATGTCCCAATTATCCATTTCCTGATCAGTCACCATGCACTATTAATTTCCCAAACTTCCCACATTATAGCTGCATATCAATCCTCTTTTTGTGATGAACCTGGTGAATCCCTAGAAAATGATAAAGAAATAAATACAATGGTAGAATCAACTATGTACCCCACAAGTGGTAAAGCCGCTGCAGCCACGGGGAACCCGAGAAGAAAAGACGACAATAGAGCACTGTCCTCCTTAATTTCAGCGAGAAGCCATCGCATCACCAGGCCGTGAACTTGCTTTCATTCTCAAGATATGTTCTACTGATCACTTACTTCAGGTTCATTAACCTCAAAACTCCTGGGATGTCTGTATAAATAGAGGGTTCTAGGTTGTACCCTTGAGATAGGTGGAACTCTAGGACCTGTGTTTTGAAATTATCTTGTGTGATTCTCCTTAAGCAGATTAAAATTTAGAAGTCTTTGAAAATCTGGTTATTTATAAGAGGTTGGGATTAAAATGCAAGCTATGTTAAACAGCTGAGTGAGATCACTAAGGACCAGTCACCCAGTAATAGAGTGTGTATCTAGGGAGTCTCCAGGAAGAGAAGGCGGTAGGAACACCCAAATCATCATACCGGCTTATGCATCTAAACACTTCTTTGTTTTTAGATGAAATAAAGAGAATCCCAGAGGAACAGAAAAAGATTTAAAGCAGAAATAAAACTGAAATGGAGGAAGAAGTGGCCTTGGAGAGAGAGATGGTGAGCAGTTGAGTGTGGGTCTCCTGTGTTGGGTCATCATATGTCTTCCATTCTTATGTCTCCTTTTTCTGCCTTCCAATGGAAGCTGAGGTAGTGTTAAAACCTCCAGACACCCCCAAAGGAAGAGCTTGGGGCACTATCTTAATTCTGTGTTCTAGATGTATTCATGGAAAGAACAAAGCCAAGGCCCCCAAGAACGGCAGTGTTAATGATCCCTGAGGAAGTGTAGGTGGTCCAAGAAGAAAAATTACCTGTGACTCTCCTCTGGTCAGGATCTTTAGATGATTTGTGACTCTTTTTGACTTCTTGCTAATTGAATGAATATTTAGTTTAGATAGTTTGTCTTTGAGCGATTCTTCCTCATCATTCTTCTTATATTTTAGAACTGAAAAGGAAGAATGCAGTGATACATCTGATTATGCGCAGTCAGAGAGCACTCCACTAGAGTTTTAAAGGCCAATATTTATATTGAGGATAGAATTTATGGGGATTTTAACTCTTCGACAGGGGCCATTACCCCATTACCCCATTGACTAGTCTGTCCAAAGTACCGCACCTATTGACCTTCAGAAACTCGGCTATTCAAGGACATGGCTACTCAAGGCTATTCAAGGTCAAGTTAATTTACTTCTCATGCTAAAGAAATCTCTGGACACGGGAAGAAGTTGGATTTTACCTTCAGTACCAGAGAGAGAAAAAAAAGAAAGTTCCTTGTACTAGAAAAGAAGAAAGCACCTCCATTCCAATGGTGCATATTATCTGGGGGTCTCTGGAATAGGAAATCGGGTCTAAAGTAATGAAAAGACAACTGAACCCATCACACATCAGCCTCAAATCCTAGGTTGGCTTTTCACAAGCTCTGTGATTTGGGGCCAGGTGAGTATCGCTCTGAGTTTTCCTTTCTTTGAGATAACTGTTACCCCTCATCTTGTTCCAAATGTTTTATACATTCAGTGTTGGTAAGGGTTTAGGAAGATGTTCAGTCATAGGCACTGTTAATGAGGGTTAAGCCAACAGTGCATGTTGAGTTAGACAAGATGTACTATTTACTGTTTCAAGCTTTACATGAATGTACTATATTGAACATATAAACTCAAGACTGATCCGAGCTTAGTTGCACACACCTGTAATCCAAGCACTTGGACAGTGGAGGTAAGAGGATTCAAAGCCAGCCTCAGCTGCATAATGTGTTTGAAGCTGGCCTGGGCTACATTAAACCACGTTTTAGAAAATAAAATAAAAACACCTTTCAAAAATTTTTTGTGATTAAACCAGTGGATACAAGTATTTTATGTCATTGCTTTTTAATCTTCTCATTGTATCATAGTGCATAACACAGTTTATTACCAACTACTAGATTATTATGTAACTCTTTAAAACAATTTTTGACCAGTTTCCCACCTTTTGTCTAAGACCAAGTATAGTAATGTTTTGAATAGTACTGGCAAATGGCACACATTCTCTGGCTCAAGAGATTGAGCATATCATATCATTGTGATTTTAATAGTCAATCCCCCAGTTACTAGCAAAGCTTCCTGTGAATTGTCCTTTTTTATTGACTTTTTATTAGAATATGAATATTCTTATTACTGAAATAATAATAACAATAATACATTCTAGGCAGTCATCTTATGTATGCAGTCTTTTCATTTTGCTTATGGTATCTTTTACTCTATTACTTTGTTATTCTATTCTTTATGGTTTTAATTTGCTAAAACAAATATTTTGCTTTTTACTTATTTGAAAACAAAACCAATCAAAGAAAATGAAGTTGTTGCACCATTTATTTCTAAACCCCTGTCATTATTTAATGACTGGGTTGAGGTTGTGTCCTGGAAACACAAACTTGGATAAGAACTCTTCATGATCACTAATTCCACTGGGAGGATGAAGGCCTATTATGCCTGGGATGCATGGGGTCCACAGAATTAGCACTCCTGTATATGAAACCTACGCTTAACATAAGGCGATAATTGTAATATCTTAGCTTAAAATAGTTAAGAATCATTAGTTAATTGTAGAAACAAATAAACCTGCCCGTCCTCAACCCCAAACTTCATTCCTATGTATCAGGACCAAATGAGTCAAATATATTAAATAGAGCCCTTCACATGGACCTGGACCTGGTTGGGCCATTTCTGCACTAGTCTCCCAGGGCTGCAAATCCTGGGTTATATCTCCTTCTTTCTCTGCAGACATTTGGTGGCAGGAGGACTGTATGCCCACAATATACCACCAGGAACACAGCGGTCAGGTAAGAGTGAATGCTTGAGTGCACCTGCTGGATTTGTTGTTTTGATTTCTGGTTTTGGATATTTTTAATGGTCTTTTCCTGAACCTAGCTACTAAGGCAATCTCACGCTCTGCTCCTGTCCTCTGACTCTAGATTTCAAATCATTGTGTTCGCTTCGACTGCTGTGTAACCATTCAGACACTGTGATCGTCACACACAAACAGAACACTCCAATCCTGGGGAACAGTCAGCCTTCCACACTTCCACCTACCCAGGTCTTTCCTTCTTTTCAGCTCATTGATGTTAACATTAATGTCCTTCACAGCGGCGAAGGCTTCTTCCAGTGCTCTGTAGTCTGGGTGGGAGGGAGGGGTTGAGTTCCGAAGTTCACACAGTAGCAGTGGGTATTTCATCACACGTTGAATAGGTTTGATCATCAAAGAGCCCATGTCCAGCAGGTTTGGTTTGCCTCTACAACAGATACCATTGATATCCATGTTATGTTTACTAACTTTGGTTTTCATTTTGTGATTAAAAAAATGATTGCTCCTAAAACAGTTTTTCTCCTTTCAACTATATAAAATTTCCAAAGGCAAACAAGAGCTGAAAGAATGACAAAAAGAAGCAAGGCTAAAAGACTCTACTAGCCAGAACAAAAACCTAAAAGAAAATAAATAAGGTATACCTACCTACCAAACAGCGCCCGTGTTTAGCTTTACTTACAGGTCAGTGTATGCAACCGATTTTAATACCAGCTTCAGAATATGATTTCCCATGACAACCAAAAAAAAAAAAAAAACCCTGAAATTCCCTATTGTATTTTTGTTATTACTAGTGAGCAATATAAACTCATTATTGAAAAACTCAAATATGTTACCTGAAAACTAAACACTGTCCTCTCTTTTCTAACAAGTTGAAAGTTTGTTCATTCAGGGGTTCTACCACAGACTCCAGAAGAAATTTATAACACAGGGAATAACGCTTGAATTATCACTACCACACTTTCCTAACCGCCACTCACAAGATGGCTTCCTCATCTCTTTCTCCCAGGAGAAATCAGCAGCTCTTCACATCACTGTAAGGCAGCAGCCAGCACACACACATGGCACTTCTGTATGTGCCTCTGAGACAGGGTGGGACCTTCCCACTGACCTGGGTTGTGCAGGAGAAAGAAGCCCCAAGCTCCGTCAAGCCACTGTCCAAACCACTGCCTCTGACCTTTCAGCCAGCAGCAACTTCTAAAAATCAATTTAGGGAACAGAAAATGATAGACAGAAAGTAATGACACCTTTTAAATCCCAACAGGTGGATTTTTCATACTCGTACTTAAAAAAAATACTAATATGGATAGACAATAGTCAAGTAATTTGAAAAAGAAAGTGAATTAAAAACGTTTTTAAAAAATGGTCTAAAGGCATCTTAAAAACCATCTAGTTCAACTCTTCATTTGACAAATGAGAAACTAAGAGATGCTAATTGTCATGTGTACACACACACACACACACACACACACACACACACACACACACCAATCTCTATTCCATCTCCGTATTTTGTGTTCATCATCTCTCTTTGTACTGTCTATAATCATTTTATTTCCCAATTTTCAAATTTATGGCCAATTTCTCTGTCACCACAGCATCTCCCATCACGATTACATTTTATCAATGCACATATTTGGACCGAGAAATCACTGAGTTTTCAGGCTTTCTGTCTTGTGCTTTTATTTGCTTTTGAAAACTCCCCTCCCCATCCCAATTTCAAAATGGATAAATAAATGACTTAGGGAGGAGTCTACTTATATCCTGAAAAAATTACACTAGCCTAACAGATACAAAGACTACAACATACAGAAACGTTTTTAAAGGAAAACCAGAACAAATACTAACGGTTTGCAATAAAGAAACAAAGATAAAGGCAAGCAGAGGGGAGGGGAGAGAGAGAGAGAGAGAGAGAAAGAGAGAGAGAGAGAGAGAGAGAGAGAGAGAGAGAGAGAGAGAGAGAGAGAGATCAGGGATGGGAGGAAAGAAACATCATTGGTTTGCAGAAGAACTGGACGAAGTAGATGAAATACCATCAATTATATTGAAAACCCAACTAAAAGCATTTTGATTGATGGGGATGTCAGTAGCTGGCAGCAATTTTTTTTAATGTATCAAAGCAGAGATTATCCCTTAACAATCGTTTATACCCTATGAAGACAATCCAATGGGACAGGAAATAAGTCAGGAATGGTATCTAAGTGACTATAGTCAGAATTTCTCGTGAGTTTATTCTTTGATTACCACCACACATTAATTTATGTAATCATTCAAAAACTACTGAAAATACCATCCAGAATTAGTCGTCAAATACTTTGAAAAAAAAGCTAACAGATCATTTATTTAGAGTCATTCCTGTGTACATACAGGAATGAACATTTTAAAAACTAGAACAACAACAACAACAACAACCCAAACAGAAAACAAAGAGCCAAAAGCACAGACGTATTAAATGGCGAAGTTGTTCCCGTGAGCTCTCTCCTTCCTCCTGTATCTGGATCTGTCACGAACCAATCTGGGTCTGTAATGGAGTTCAAGTGTTATCACTTCTTCTATCAGTCTTTAGCACCGAATTTCCAGTACCTTTGTTTTATGACTCCAGTGATAATTAGAAATGATTATTGTTTCTTTAAAGCATCATAAATGCAAATCTGAGAAATGACTGACAAAATGAGGTATTTCCCAGGTACTTTTGTCTTCGGACATATTTTTTTTTTCAGTTGGCCAAGAGACAATCAATAATGTTCTGGTATCTGCATCAGACAGACTACACTGTGGAAGAAAAGATAGAGGATGTATTGAAAGATAACAGCACTCCAGGCGTTTGGTGTCACAGGTTCACCGCCATATCTAATCCCCTCTAGTGAGATTAAGTTTTGATAACGGTAGAGGCGAGTCCTATGTATAACATCCCCACATCAGCCAGTTGTCACCTGCTGCCCCAGAGTAAGGAACCAAATGTGTTGTGGGGCTCCACAATATTGTGCCGAAACTGAATGCAGTCGTTAATATACAACACTGTTTCAGCTTTCTCTTGTATCACAAATTTCTTGACAAGTGTTTAGTGCCAGACACAGCTACACTATCTCATCACACATGATTACTGGGGCTTTATCAGGTTAATCAAACCCAGTTAGCTTTGTTTTAGCACTATCTAGTTTTGTCACAAAGCTTTTCCAATAAAATGGAGGAAAAAATAATATTTAGACAATGTAAAAAGTATGGTGGAAAATAGAAAGAATATTCCATGTGAAATATGCCTGTATGTTTTAAGTGGAGGGAAAATAGAAGAAAAATCATAACTTAATGACTGGTTATAATTTTTTGAATTTCTTCTATCGCATGACCGCAAATATCCTAAATTTTGTGTTTATTTTATAGTAACTGTAAAAAAAGCTTTTAAAAATTTAATCTCCTTATGGAACTTTTAAGGCAATGATAAAGAAAACTGTAGAGAGCTACATAACAAATAGCACTTGCCATAAAATATGGAACTTGAAATAAATACAAAACTATTAAATTTCAGAAGAATAAAAGAGGACAATGAATTACAACTCATGTAGATGAGTGTAGAGAAGCATTAACTACGGAAAAGCAATACTTAATCATTCCAGAAAATTTACCATGAACAGTTTCTTAAAGGAGTAGGGAGCCGAGGGGGCCGGGGATCAAAATGAGATAGTGAAAACACTATTTCAGAAACTGTCTAATTTGGGAGGTCTAAAAAAAAAAAAAAAAAAAGCTAAGGGTGGTCATCTGAAGAATTAAGAATGCTTGGAAATTAAAAGAATAAAAGCAGAAGTAACAACTAAGCACACTAGGAATCTAGGAGCTAGTATGTATTGGTAGAATTCCCAGGATAAAACATCAGAACACACCAGGAGGAGGAAATCATCATGGGGAGATTTAAGAAAAGCCAGCAGCTGACAGAACCCATTGCCCAGAGATGAAACAGTCACACTTAGCCACCCAGAAAACTTCAGTCCCCCGGGGACAAGGAGACTCTTAAATCCTTCAGAGACACACACAGGTACCACAGACGTTGAAGATGGAAAATAAACAGTGACCTCTAAATTCTAACAGTGATGGTGGTGGTGGTAACAGCAGCAGCCACAGTGGTGGTAGTGTGTGTGGAGATCAACATCAGTTTCCTTCCCCAATCATTCTCTATCCTATTTCTTGAGACAGAGTCTCACTGAACCAGAAGCTTACCAATTTGTCTAGACAGGCAGGCCAGTAAGCTCCAGGGATTCCCTGTCTGAGCCTTCTTAATTAACCCTTGACTACAACGTGTACAGCTTTTATGTGGGTGCTGAAAATCCAAACTCAGTTCCTCATTCTTACATGACAAATATGTTAACTATGAGCCACCTCTTCAGTCCCCTTTCCTTCTGAAACAAAAGATTTATAAAGTGGTAACCAATTTGATGTTTCAAAAAACAATAATCAACTTCACCAGGGCCAGAGATATGGCTAAGTGGGCAAAGACACTTACTGCCAAGTCTGAGGATTCCTGGAACCCACATGGTAAAAGGAGAAAATAGACTGTCTAAACTTGTCCTCTGACCTCTGCCCTGGGTGCCTTGTACACATGGAGGTCAGAAAAGGGCACTGAACCCTTGGAACTGGAGTTAAGGATGGTTTTGAGCCATCACATGGGTGCAGGGAGTTAAACCTGGATCCTCTGTAAGAGCTACAAGTGCTCTTAACTGCTGAGCCATTTCTCCAGCCCCATCATCATTCTTTTAGTACTAAACAGGCTAGACATACTTTTTTTTTCTAGAAAAAAATGGATACATTCCAGTGTGTATACATGTTGTTTTTATAAAATAACTTCCATATTGTCCTATGAGCCAACTATTTTGTATTTAATGAAACTATTTAGTATTTCCTTTCTAAGCCATACATGTATATGACTTTTCCCTCTGAAATCACACAAGATTTCACAATGAAGACAACCAACACTTTACTATAATATGGAAAAAAGCTTTTCTTGTGCTTTAATCATTGCAGCCTTCCTCACTGTTATGACTAATCCAAGGTTGTTATTTTAGGACAGATGTGCTGAAGAAGACCTGTTCCTTGGCACACCACCAATCCCAGTGTAGGAATGATGAGCAGTTCCTGGGATTTCCTGGCATATGAAATTTAATTAAAATTATATTAGGATTTGCCACGTTTGGTAAAGTATATGGAGTAATGTAATACATAAAATCATCTCTGAAAAACTGGAAATAAAGTACTCTTGAAATCACATGCACCAATAATGTCTATAGTAAATTTGCAATCATAGACTTATTTATTACAAGTAATATGCTTGATTACAAAACCCAAAAATTCTGATTTGTTCAGAAATATCCAGTAGCTTTTCCTATGTTTTTGTATTTTATCTTTATTTTTAAAAAAGTAGTGCAAGTGTTGCTTCTAAGTAGCCTAAATTGATCAATATGAAATCTAGATGTTCATCAAAACACCAGCTTGTATCTCATAAATAAGTACAATCATGGAGAGGTGGTTCAGCAGTGAGACTTACTGCTGTTGCAGAGGACCCAAGTGCAGTTTCCAGCTCCCAGGTCAGAGGGCTCATAACTGCTGTAACTACAGTACCAGGGGATCTAACATCCTCTGTTGTCCTCTGTGAGCAACCTACCCTCACATATTTACAAGTAGTTTAAATTTAAAATTTGCTATAGTTCTAGAGTATATCTTGAATCTGAGATGGTGATACCTCCCACAGTATTTTTTTTTTGAGACAATCTCACTTCCCAAAGTATTTTTATGTTCAGGATTGTTTTGGTTGTCCTGGGTTGTTTGCCTTTCTATATGAAATTTATGATTCTTTAAAATTTCTATGGAGAACTCTGTTGAAATTTTCATCAGGATTCCATTGAATCTGTAGGTTGCTTTTGGTAGGATGGTCATTTTTGCAATATTAATCCTACCAGTCCATAAGCATAGGAGGTATTTCCTTTTTCTGTTATCTTTTTCAATATCTTTTATCAAGATCCTGAAGTTCTCATTGCAGTAGGCTTTCACTTCCTTGGTTAAAATCATGCCAAGGTATTATTTTTTTTGAAGCTCTTATGAATGGTACTGTTTCTATGATTTCTTTCTCCATGTGTCTGTCATTTGCAAATAGGAAGAATATTGATTTTTGTATGTTAATTTTGTATGGTGTTACATGCTGCATGTATTTATCAGTTGTAGGAGTTTTCTGATGAAGTTGTTAGGGTCTTTTATGTATAGAATCATGTTATCTGCTAGATAGATTATAGACCCTAAGGGAGAACCTACTACTATTATTCTGCTAAATGGACACAGTATTAAATTGATTCATAATGACTTATCTTTATGCCCATCCATTTATTCTCAGCCCTCATCAGAGAAGTTTCTATTTGCAGTGGATGGTGATTATACAAGTCAATTTTCCATTGCTGTGATGAAATAACATGACCAGTTGTTTCAGTCAAAGTTCTATTGCTGTGAAGAGAAACCAAGACCATGACAACTCTTGTAAAGGGAAAGATTGGGGCTTGTTTTCAGTTTCAGAGGTTTAGTCCATTATCAGTATGGCAGGAAACATGGTGGCACACAAGCAGACATGGTGCTTAAGGATGTGAGAGTTTAACATCTGGAGCTGCAGGCAGCAGGAAGAGAAGAAAGCACGGGGCCTGGATTGGGCTTTTGAAACTTTACAGTCCACCCACAGTGACACATTTCTTCCAACAAGGCCACACCTCCTAGTAGTGCCACTCCCTGGTGATCAAGCACTCAAATATATGAGCCTATGGGGGACATTCTTTTTCAAAAAACAACATCCCACTCCCTGTCCCCCATGGGCTTATAGCCATATCATAATGCAAAAATGCATTCAACCTCAAAAGTCCTCATAGTCTATAACAGTCTCAACACTTTTTAAAAGTTTGGAGTTCAAAGTCTCTTCTGAGACTCAAGGCAATCTCTTAACTGTAAGCCCCTGTAAAATCAAAATAAAAAAACAGATCATATGCTTCCACCACACAATAGCACAGGAAATACATTACCATTCTAAAAGAGAGGAAAGGGAACATAATGGAGAAACACTGGACCATAGCAAGACCTAAAATCAGCTGGGCAAACTCCGAATTCTGCATCTCCACATCTGATATCAAAGTGCTTTTTAGATCTCTAACTCCTTTCAGCTTTGTTGACTGTAATATGCTTCTCTCTCTTGTGGTGGTTCCACAGCCACTCTTCAGCTTTCCTTGGCTAGTATCCCACAATTCCAGTATCTGCAGCATCTTGTGGTCTCCAAGGCAATCCAGGTTTCACCTTCATAGTTCCATGCAATTGCCTCTGTGTGCCTCTATTCAGGGACACCCTTAACACATGCCTGGCTTCAGTGGCTTTCCTTAGAGAGAAAGATTACATACTCCCTTTCTTATATTGTTGACTCTAAAGCCAGAACTATATGGTGGGAGCTGCTAAGTTCTGTTGCTTGCTGGGGCTGGAACATGGCCCTCTTGTTCAACTACATCTGCATCAGCTTTCTGTTGTTGATTGTTTCCTTCACCAACTAAGCTTTTCTTTAATTACTTTTCAGAAGTTGGAGCTTAGCTGGGTGGGGTCTTGCCCTGAAGTCACTACTCCCTTTATTCCAATTAGGATCAGGCCTTTCTTTAAACTTTTTATCTTTTTGAGCACTGGACTTAACTCCAATATACTTCCTGGTGCCCCATTTCTCCTCAAACTGTACATTTTGCGCTTTTCCTTGCTCAGCTTGCTTCTTTTCATTATAGATCTGCATAAGAGTGAACACTAATAACCACATGACAGTCAATACTAGGCTGACTTGAAATCTCCTCTGCCAACATCAATTAACCCCAAACTCTTCAATTTAGCCTCAGACTGATCTGTTGGACGAGGGCCAAAAGTAGCCACATTCTTTGCAAAAATAGTATAAGAAAGGTTTCTAGGCCACTTGCTAATATTCTCCTCTGAAGCTTCTTGAGCCAGGATGTCATATTCTATACTGCTCTCAGTACCAGTGTCTTCCATGCTCCTACTAGTATGCCCCATTAAGCCCCACTTAAAGTTTTCAACTGCTTCCTCATCCAAAGTCCAAAAGTCCACATTCCTCCAACAAGAAGCATTGTCAGGCCTATTACCTCAATACCCCACTCCTGGTACCAACTTCTGTCTTAGTCAAAGTTCTATTGTTGTGAAGAAACACTATGACCATAGCAATTCTTACAAAGGAAAACATTTGATTGAGGCTTGTTTACAGTTTCAGAGGTTTAGTCCTTTATCATCATATCAAGAAGCATGGCAGCATGCAGGCAGACATGGTGCTGGAGAAGGAGCCAAGAGTTTTATAACTAGATCCAGAGGCAGAAGGAATAGAGAAAGATACTGGGCCTAGCTTGGGCTTTTAAAAACCTTAAAGCCCATCTCCAGTAACACACTGCCTTAAACAAGTCCAGAGCTACTCCAACAAGGCCACACTTCCTAATAGTGTCACTCCGTGGTGCCTAAGCATTTAAATCTATGAGCCTATTGGGGATATTCTTATTCAAACCACCACACCAAGGCAACTTGTAGAGGGAAAGTTTTATTGGGGGTTAAGGGCTAAGAGCTCATCACCATCATACTGGGGCTTAGAGTCCATGATGGCTAGGAAGTGTGGCAGCAAGTGGCAGGCATCACAGCTGGAACAGCAAACTGAGAGTATACATCTTGAGTAATCACAAGCATGAAGCAGAGAGATGGAACTAGAAGTAGCTCGAGATTTTAACTCTCAAAGCCTGGCCACTCAGTTACACACTTCCTCTAGCAAGGCCACACCTTCTAAACCTCCCCCAAACAGAGCCATCAGCTGGGACCAAGTATTCAAATGCCCTATGCGGGGAGGACATCTCAATCAAACTACCACAGTGATTAACAGAGACCCACAACTGGTTGAGGGGCAGAGAATGAGACTGTGGAATGCTCAAAATTGAATGGAACATATATATCACACTCTTCATCCCAAGGCTCAAGGTTCATTGCAGAAAAGGAGGCATAAAGAACGTAAGAGCTGAGGTACCAGCTGCTTGCTGCCTAAATGGGCAAGTTCATGAAACCCAGGAAGGTGGTGCTGGTCTTGGCTAGACACTAATCTGGATGCAAAACTCATCATGAAGAACATTAATATGGCACCTCAGATCACCCTTACAGCCACGCCTTGGTGGCTGGAATTGATCAATGTCCCCCAAAAGTGACAGCTACCACAGGCAAGAAGAAAATTGTCAAGAGATCAAAAATCAAGTCCTTTGTGAAAGTTTATAACTGTAATCATCACATGGTCCTCTGTGGCTAACCCCTCAGATAAAACTGTTGTCAGCGAAGATATTTTTAGAGACCCAGCTCTGAAATGAAAGACCAGACACAAAGCCAAGGTCAAGTTTGAGGAATGATACAAGACAGGAAAGAACAAATGGTTTTTCCAGAAGCTTTGATTTTAGGTATATTTTGCTTCCATCATTAAAATAAAAAAAAAAAGAATGTAAGCACTACAGACACAGCAGGACAGATGTCCACATGAGCTCGCAGCAACCGTGACAGCACGCACAAGCCCTGTGCAAGCTCAAGCGAGACTAAATCTCAGAATGGAGATGGGCGGTAGACAGGAAGTCCCACCCCTCGCCAAGGAGATATTGGCAAGTGATAGGTATTGGAGAGGAGGAGTCGGTGTTCTTTAAAAATGTTGCTTCTGAGCCGGGCGGTGGTGGCGCACGCCTTTAATCCCAGCACTCGGGAGGCAGAGCCAGGCGGATCTCTGTGAGTTCGAGGCCAGCCTGGTCTCCAGAGCGAGTTCCAGGAAAGGCGCAAAGCTACACAGAGAAACCCTGTCTCGAAAAACCAAAAAAAAAAAAAAATGTTGCTTCTGGCAAGTCAACCATGCTCCAGGGGAAAGCCACACACCAGTGAGACTATGGGTGTGGGCAGCACAAACTACATCTGATGGGTAGAAAAAGAAGACCCAAAGTTGGGTGGAAAGAGGAAATGGAGCTGGAAGGATCTGGGGGAGAGCATGAATATGATCAACATGCGTTGTATGAAGTTCTCAAAGAATAAATAAAACTAAAAATTGAAAATTAAAAAAAATCTTTAAAAAAGTACTTACTCTTGCATATATATATTCCTGTAAAAGAAAAAGAGAAAGTAAATCAATAAAGATTCACACATATGGGATACTATGAAACATTACAAATACTTTCGAATAAATTACTATATCAAATGAAGTAGTGGGTGAGTTTCATGAATGCCCCATGGAATCAAGTGTCTTTAATTAGAAATATGTTCTAAAATGACACTTTAATACATCTACCATCTTGCTTAATGCCATACATAAAATTCAAACTAGTGATTTAGTTAATAAATTTTAATAATTTAAGTATGTATTTAAATTCATTTATGTTTACATTTTGAAAAAAAACCCATCAAATGCAATCATGAGGACAACCATGAGCTTACAAAGTAAGGCCTAACCTGACTTGTAGAACAATGTTATTAAGTGCTCTATAATTTCTCTATGTAGTTTTAGGAAGATAACTCTTTAGAAAGGGTCTCACCATGTAACCTCAGCTGACCTTGAACCTCCTATATAGACATGGTTGACCTCAAACTGATAGTCTTACTGCATCAGCCTCCCTAGAGCTGGGATGACATGTGTTCACCACTATGGTTGGCTTATCATAGTGTTAACAATTCAACAAGAATTCTCAAAGACAGCCTTCATGCAGGCCTTGCTAGCCTTGGTGGCTGCTGTCTGCTTCTGTGAAACAAGTCCTCCCATGGAAAAGCATATGGTCTGTGTCTCCTTTTCCTGTCTCTCTACCCCATTTCCTAGTACTCATTTCTCCCAAGGTGCTATGGCAATCACAGACTTCCTGCTTCTAGGAAGTTCAGGTAGGCATGCGGCAACCTCCAGGCTTTTAAACCTGCCGTTTCTTCTGTTCAGATTGTTTTCCATCTTCTCCTTCATCCCTTCCAGGCTTTTGCTCAGGTGTCCCTTTCTTGAGAAGACTTCTCTGACTGATCTTTGCAAAGATCACCATGCTTCACACCGTCCTGGCTGTCCCTATTCTCTGCTTTTCCTTCTCTTCCTAAGATATGCTAATGTCTCCTACTATGTACCACACTTCTTATATTTTTGTTTGTGAGCCTAGCCTTTAATGGCTGAGCCATCTCTCCAGCCCGTACCACACTTCTTTAGTGTATTGCTGATCTCTCCAAGTCAGGCAAGGATGGATACACAATTTGTTTATTTCTATGACACCAATCTAAAAAGTGACCGGTATGTGTTGGGGGCTCAAAGTATGTGTCAAACTAATTAGTCATGAAAAACAATGGAGATTAGTCAGAACAAATTTAAGAAACAAAAGAGATGGAAGTTTCCTCCTAAATGTGGCATGTGTCTATCACAAAATAGCGCAATAGCTTCTGTTTATTGTATGACCCACAGCTTCCTTTGTGCTCTTTAATCTTTTTGAATACAATGAATATTTTTATCATAAATATTTCTAATATAAAAAAATCACACGGCTATGTTTTTGTTAGTTTGTTTGAGACAGTGTATTCCTGGCTATCCTGGAACTTGCTATGTAGACCAGGTTGGCCTTGAACTCACAGAGATCCTCCTTCTTCTGGCTCCTGAGCACTGAAATTAAAGGCATGTGTTACCATGCCCAGACTTTTTGTATTCAGCGATTGAGATAAAAACTTAATGATAAATACCTATGCTGAACTGGATTGAATAAGTTAAAAAAGTTCCAGTTCTCCATCCATGTGGAAGACAGGTACATGTGTTAAAGCATCTCCTTCCTCAGTCCTCAGACCTGTATGTGTAAGTGGACCCCTAGACATCTTGAGATACTGGGTTCTGCGGAGTCCAAAACCTCCAAATAGGAATCAAAGACAAAATCACACTGCCTTTAAAGTCAATACCTATTATAACTTTAAGAAATTATTAATTGATATTTAAAAATTCTGTAGTGAAAGCAACTGTCTCTCTGTGGTCCTGGGACTTCTATCCATTTCCTTTATGTTCACATTCTTCTACTCATTTATATTGTCCTCTAGTGGAGAATCTCATTTGTTCTAGGATCTGTTTTTTTGCAGATCATATATTATAAAATTAGTAAAACAAAAGAAATAAAACTATAATTTTCCATTGAAACAAGTGATTGGACAAATGGTATTTAGGAAATAAATACACTGAAGTGGAAAGAAACCATTTTGTTTTTTAGTCCTGGAGAGACATAGAACTCTCTTTTCTCTTTCTCTTTTATTTACTTCAACAAACAACCTAAAATTATAATAAAACTAAGCATGTGCTTCCTGTTACATGCCACTCTCTATAAAGGAATCTGACATTTTTCTAATAGAGGGAGCCATACTCTGTAAAGTGGGACACTGTATCATTGCTTCACCTGATTTTCTCATCACTAAAGAAGAAACATTCTTTTTTACGATAGATTTTGAAGTTTTCCAGAAGGTGATTCCAGCCAAGGACAATCTAGGAAAAAGTTAAGCAGCATCCATTTAGCTTTTTATGGGATAAAATAATCACCTCCCTCTCCTGCTGGGCTCATTAGAATTTGACTCACGAATTAAAGGTTTTATGTGGCTTAAAGATTATGGTCTGTTTCTAAACAATGTCATACTGCAAGGAGCTGAAAGAATTTCCAGAGGTGTTTTTGATTTTTACATGGGACCCTCTGTTTGGATTCAAAACACACGGTAGTGAGAAAATAAAAATGCAGCTCCTTAGACAGCATGAGCTTTTTGCTGCTTCTCCAAGTGGGAAAGCCACAGGAACAACGTGACCAGACTGTCTAGATGACCAACAGGTAAATGTTTTTTTCTCCTGAGGATGGGACCTTTGTTAGCAAAAAGATAAACACAGGTTAATTTATAACACTAAGATACGAGGAGGCTAGAAATGTGACTCTAGCCATGAAAAAACTGAGAAAAGTCCTTTTGGTCCTATTTTATTACAGAATGAACAGACTTGTTGGGGACACTGACCTATCAGAGAGTCTTTAGTAATATTTCTAACTGGAAAACAGAAAGGAGGGGGCAGATAGGCTGTTCTAATTATAGCTACGCTTGCTGAACGGTTGCCCGATGCTCACTTCTTCAAATAGGTCAGAAATCGTCAGTAACTCCGATAAGCAACGAGGTCCTCAGTCAGCAAAGAAGTAGTGATACAACATCTCAGTCAATCCTAGGGGCCCTTTGTCCCACTAGGCTAAACACTCCTTGCTGAGTAAAAAGAGCATGTAAATGTCCAGTTTTTAGGGTGTCGGTGCAGGTGTACACTGCATTTCTAGATAACTTTAGTTTTTTCTTTTTTAAAAAAAGGATTTATTTTATGTGTATGAGTATTTTACCTAGTGTATGTATGTGTACCATGTGAACATGAATGTCAGGTGCCCAAAGAGGTCAGAAGAGGGCGTCAGAGTCGCCAGAACTGGAGTTACAGATGGTTGTGAGCCACCATGTGGATACTGGGAAGCACAACCAGGTCCTCTGTAAGAGCAGCTGTCATTCTTCATCACGGAACCATATGTCTCCACCCCGTTTTAAAAGTTACTCACCCTTCATACACATTCCTGGTATATCAGGTACTGGAGAACTCATACACCAAGAAATACTGCCCTAACACTTCAAAACTAATTTTCTGGATCCAAATCTAATTTTCTCTTTTGAATGATAATGAGCTTCAAAGAATAGCCAAGGTTCCTAAGCCTGGATATCATACAGAGTGAAGCAGTATCTCTGCCTTCCTGTTGGAGGTTAATCTTGGGCTAAACCTATAGAGATACCTTCTGGTGTGTTAACTAAATGAACTTTGTATTGCTGGCAAGCTTTCCAGACAGTTTTATCTCCGACTAGAGTTTATGTTCCTAGGGGGCAAGAACCATGCTTATATATTAAAAATATTTTCAACATTATCTAGTACTCTTAATAAATATTTATGAGGCCCTCAATAAACATATTTTAATTTTTGTTAAAATGTAACCTAAGTCCCTTGAAAATCTGCCTGAGCTTCTGAGGCATGAAGTCACCTCTCATGTGGATATTTTGCTTCAAACCAGCTCATTCCAGTATCCCTTGCACTGTTGAAAATGGAGGCGGAGGCTAATGTTCATTAGAAATGGCAGCCGCTCCTTTATTTAGCCAGTAGGAAAAGGCAGGGCGACAGTAATAGCTTTGACTGATTACTTGGCAAGGGAAACCAAGCCCCGAGGGTGTTCGGGACTCTCTTTGGCCTATAAACCTGTTTGAAAACCTGTTTCTCAGGATTTAAAGCTTGGCTCAGCTGAGGTCAGTATTACAGTGGTGTCAATAATGGCACTGCACTCAGCCTCCAGGCAGACCCACACAATTCATCATCAACTTTATTTTCATGGAAAGGCAACTTTGGGGAAAATAGCTCCAGCTTAAACTATTTTATTTTGATTTTCTTTCCCTTAAGAAATAGTTCTGCCAATATTGTTTCATTTGGATTTTGTGCATTCTACACCTTAACACCTTTTGGCAGGGGAGATTATTTCTAAAAGTTAGAGTGGTTCTGAATACACAGAATTGGACACACCATGGGACAGTATTTTTGAAGCTTAAAAAACAAAACAAGTTATTGGGTCTGACAATTACCTCTACCCTCGAACTGCTTTTAAAGGAAGTGGTATTGAGCTGTGCTGCATAGAGAATACTGTAGTGGGCTCTGTTCTCTTAGGAATCAAAAGTTTATTGCACGGCACACTAATATTTATCACCCAGGCAGCTTAGAGAAGCAGTCAAGAGGACTATGGGCCCAAACTGTCCAGGTCCCTAGATATGCAGGTTAATCAAAGAAGCCAGTTTTTCATGTGTTGTGTGATCGCCTGCCTCCCCCCCCCCCCATTATTTCTACAACCTGAAGGAATACACATGTATTGTGAGAAGGTGTTTTGTATGCAGGGCATCACTATCTTACACGAGGATAAAAATACCTGTGCATGTGGAGGACTTGTTCTTCTTATATGAACATGTTTAGGCAAATACAATTTCACATTTTATTTTTTTTTTTCAAGCTGATATGGTAACATTGACCTACACTGAAATAACAAAAATTAGCCTGAGCTGCTCACCCCACACACATGTGTTATCTGAGCATGCCCATCTCCTTGGAGACCATAAAGTTTTTTTTTTTTTTGTCAGCACAACATGTATACACACCACAGCACAAGCTTTCAATAAACGTCCACTTTTTTTTTTCTCAAGGTATGGAAAAATATGAAAGACCTGCAATTTTTGGCCAGTAGAGGGCAATAAAGTTGAAATTTAATCAAAGTACTTTTTATTTGAAGCCATGGGGACCAAATAAAACTCATTTTCAGTTTTAACTGGAGCCTGAAAAGTCTTCCTCCAGTGTGGCCTCATTTAGTCTCCCCATTGCACCCCAGTGCTGCTACAAACTTCTATCGAAGGGGGACCCCCTTCTCTCACACAATAGGACACATGAAGATGTGTTAGAGGCTCAGACTCCCACATCTTGACCTAACATGTCAGCTTCCTCAAACTGGTTAACCCCTGACTGGATGCAGCCCATTCAACAGTACACAGTCCTCAAGAGTGGAGGTCCACAGGAGAACTTGAAAAGATGAGAAAAAGGAGGATGAGTTTAGCTTTAAACAGGACTCCAGTTGCATCTAAAAGGTCAGAGCAAACACAGGCTCAGAGTCCCCTATTTCCAGAGATAAGATAAAACCTATGCTTATTAATTGCTTGGAGAATAGCAAGGGTTTAAAAACTTATTCAAACTTGTGTAGCTCCACTACCATCTCCTCACAAGGTACGCATGAGGAGTGTCTAATTGTCCTGAAGCTAACTTTCGCAGGGCCTTAGTCCTCCTCACAATCTCCCCACGGGAGACCAGGCAACAAGGAGGACTATTCAGGAATTCCACTGATGTAACCAACTCACCGGCCCTTGAGAGTGCATGAACAGCAGCCTGCCTTTCATATCTTATTTATTTTATTATTGTTGTTTGACAACACTGAATTTTTCCTCGTCTCTCCAAGGCCTTGAATCTTTGTCTCACTTGTTATTTTTAGACATCCTCTTGAGGGGGAACAAAAGTCAGTCTGGGCTTGTAGCACATTGGCTTTTCATAAAGCAGCTGTCCGAGCAAGCCCTGTGAAATGTTCTGTATGTGACCTTCCATCTCTGTCCACTTCAAATGGCTCCTGCTAAGCAACCAGAGTAGACGGGAATCGCCACTTGAAAAGGAAAAGGCCTTACTTTAAGGACTGGATACAGTGGTTCAAATGGTGCCTCAGCTCTTCCTCCTTTTCATAGGACTCCAGTACACTGTGTGCTTCATCATGATGATAGCAGTAGATTTTATAAATATCCTCCAGTGGTCCTTTAATCTGCAAGAATACCTCTCCTGAACAGTGCAAAACAAAGACAAAATGACCTCATCAGAGCAGAGTGACACTTCATGCATTGTTACTCAGTGTTGACTATTGTAATATGTCAGGTCTAGCCCACCTGATCCCCAGATTGTTTGGAAGGGACATCGAGTGGATAATTTCCCTTTCCTTCTCTTCCTCCTCCTTTTCTCCTCCTTCTCTCCATGCCTCCCTCCCTCTCCTTTCTTTTTTTCTTCCTTTTATAAAACATATGAAGAGCATAACAGGTTGGTGCACAGAATCACAGCTAAGAGCTGCCTAGATTAGCGTGGTCTGCCCACGTTCAAATCAAGCTATGCTACTGACTGGCTTTGAGACTTGAGCACATTGAACATGTTTTATAAAACTGCTATAAACACATTATATAAGTGCTTCTTGCTCTGCATGCATGAAGAGATAAGAGGTCATTTACCCATATGAAATAGGAATGAATACATCTGAATTGGAAGCAGATAAATGATTTTCTCAAGTCCTGCCAAGGAGGTGAGAAAGCCAAGCTTAAAGGCCAGACAGTGTTCTTGAGTTTCAGCCCTCAAATACTAGCACTCTGCTATACATTGGCTGAGGTGGGAAGACCACTAAGTCAGAATCATAAACTAGGGCTTGGATGGTGATTTGGGGAGTGATTATGTGGTTCTAATTTTTTGTGGCTATGTTCCCTCATATCATTTGTGATAATTCTAAAGTGTCACACTCGTTTCTAGCTTATATCCAGCCAATAAAGACTTTTGTTTCCTCTTCCTTATATGGGATTTCTTCTATGCTTATAGCTAGATTTTGAAGTAATGTGAAGTGGTGTGTGTGTGTGAGAGAGAGGGGGGGGGATTGATTGATTGAATGATTGATTGATTGATTTGGGTGACCTGGAATTAATCCAATGAATCAAGCATCTTTATAGCCAAAGGACTGAGAGGTTCTTGCTGTTTCTGGGATTTAACTGGGTTGGTCTTTCTCCCAATGTAAGTCTTAAAAATCTTTAAGACTTTAAAGATCTGCCCTTTAAGACAGTAGTACCCACAGAAAGAAACAGTTAACAACAGAAAATAAGACAGGAAAGCAAGTGAATTTATGGTTAGTTATAAAGTGAAGAGAGACTCCAAGTAGTCCAACCAGGTAGAAAGGGGAGGTTTGGGACAGATCTCAGCCCTAGAAGTAGGACAGTGGCGGGCTTGGATAGAGGCTCCTTGGGCATCTGAGCCTATGCATCTTCATAATGAGATGAAGTTACAAATATGTACATGCATTACAAATGTGGTAATAATTGAGATTTAAGAAAACGAAAGAGCAAGGGACAGTCTGACAAATATATGTGATCAAATCAGAAAGTTAAAAATCAAAGACAATACTTGCTTTATATGCAAGTAAACCATCACTTGCAAATTCCCTTGTATGTTTTTACCAGCAGTGTCCCAGAATTTCTAGACCTCCCCTTAACAGCAAAAGCTTCTTCTTCTTCTTTTTTTTAATTCTCCGAGTAAAATTCTGTTGGGGCCCTAATAATAATTATTGAAGTTAAAAGATATTTAAGTACTCTAATTGAAAGTCGTTTATTCACCCAGAGGCCAGCTATAACACTGGTGGGCAGAATATTTCATTTCCCTCCCAGCCCATTCTACTTCATAATAGTGCTGATGAAGCGAGGTGTCTCCCGGCCAAAAGCGATTCTGTTTCCACGGCAACATGAATCTTGGCTGCATTTCTTCAGTGGTGAAGGACAACTGCTCAGTCTAATGTATGTGCACTGGAAGGATGATTAGGAGCGGAGAAAGGAGTGAACCAAGACCAGGGAAGGTAATTTCACTCTAGCTGCCTGACACAAAAGCACCAGAATCCTAGAAAACAAAGCCCTGCATCTTCTTCTTTTTAAAAATTCTACAACCAAAGGAAAAAACATTTTTGCAGTGACATTCCCTCAAAGCAACTATCTTGCAAAGGAAGAACAAAAAGCAAAAAGACAATAACTCCGTTTTAAATTTCTTTAGCCATCGCCCTTAAAAGCGATGCCCGAAACATAGTCTATATTGTGGTATAATTGCTCCTGTGGGTCAGTTGCTCCTCACTGCTGTCAATGTATTCAGGTTCTTCTATTTTTAAGTTCTTGTTGATTCCCTTCTTCTTGTCTTTTAGAACCCATGCCCCACAGTGTGGAATCTGTATCATCCTGAATTTCCTCCATCCGTATGCAAACTTAGGGCAAAGCCACGATATTCAAGGAAGCTACTTATCCTGGGCTTTGTACGAGAAAGTAACTCACATGGGTATGAATGTGGTTATTGTTTTGAGTTCATATTTACTTAACAGTTATTTATTGGATGACTGCTTTGCACTGAGCACTATAGTTTATACTGGGGACACAAACAGTTCATTGAAATAACTTATATAAGCCAGCAAGGGCAAGAGAGAAGAGTTAAGTTCCCATTCATTGTGCCCTATGAAAGTGCAATGCTAGGGCTGGGCAGCAGAGAAGGGAACATATCCAGTCTCTGGGGAACTCTTAAGTGAGTATAGAAGAAAGGAGGTAGTGAGGGGAAATGCATGCAGAATCTCTGAATGGTCTAGGGTGCAAGGCTCAGTGGCTCTAAGCCTGTGAGGAAGCTCCAGAAAGTAGGAAGGCAGTCAGGTCCTGAAGCAGAGTGGGTACCACTAAAGAGCAGAGATGGAAAAGCACATACAGATTTTAGGCAGTAGACTAACAAGACTAGATGACAGCTTGGAAGATTACTCTGATGATGAGTCATCTGAGAGGTGGAACTGGAGAAAGGAGTTGAGACTGGAGAAGAAAAACCAATCAAAAATAAAAGAAAAAGGAAGGGCAAGCACAGGAGGGTACATCAATTAAGAGTGCTCTGTGGTCCAGAGATGTAGCTCAGTGATAAAGCACATGCTTAATGTGTTCCAGGGCCTGGATTCAACCCCCAGAGTCACAGGAAGGACAAAAAAGTGATATCGCTTCAACTGCCTGTGTTCAGATCCTGGTTTTACTCTTTACAAAATGCCTGACATTTGGGGAAGCTAGCTGCGTTCTCGGTTCTGTAATTTCCTCATCTGTAAAATGAGAGTAACAGCAATTGTAAGATAACTGATAATTAATGGGGTTAACTATGTAATGATTTTAAATCAGTAGCTGGGACATGCAAATACTCACTTATACAAGGAAATCTGAAGCAGGGAAGAAAGAGAAGCAAAGGGGCAGGGAGAGTATATGAACAGCGAGATATACTTCCAGGGTTCCACACGGCTGAACAAAGATGATGTGTGGAAAGGGTTTAAGGTGCAAAGATAATGAATTTAACTGTAGCTGTACTGATTGGGAATTGTTTGTTATGTAGTCAAGTGGGAATGTCCTCTGTGGACTTGGGTACATGAATATGGGGTCCAGGGAAGTAACATAAAGACATATGAGAGTGATACAGGGTTGCAAATTGTGGGTAGTAGAAATCGTCGATTTAATGTGGTTGTTACAAAGAAGTCTAGAGAGAGGCAGAGAAGAGGGTGTGAAGATTCAGCGTTTGTGAGCTCTTACATTGAGAGAAGACAAGCAGATGAGAGCTCAGAGAAGCCAGAGAAGGCACAGTCACAGAGAATAAATGGAGACTAGGAAAAATCAGCAAATCCAAGAACAATCTTATGATTTATATCGACTTAGGTCTATGGTGGATGGTGCATATGTATGATTCCAAGACAATTTTCCCTACTCTATATTGTATATATATACATGGTATATATATATACATGGTATATATACATGGTTGTGAAAATATATGGCAGCCCTCTTGGCTTTCATAATTTCAATCTATAATGTTTACACATGACAAAAGTAGCTAGTGGTGTATTTCTCAGTATTCACCCCATTGCTAAGGAACACGTGACTATACAACAGGGATAAATGTTGCTGAGATCAAAATTTGGGATTTTCAGTGTGTTGCCAACATTTCCCATCACCTGGCCACATTCTTTTTTTTTTTTCTAGAGCAATAGAAAGTTTGGTTGCTCCAGATATTTTTGGTGTAAGAAGGCACACTTATTTCTCTGGGATGCAAAAACCAGGGGGCCATGCCAAGCTGCCACTGGCTTGAGAACACAAGCCCCCGGGCCTCTGTATCACAGAGAAATAAGCACGTCTCACCCCACAGATGCTTTGTTTTTGTTTATCTTTTCTCCAAGAAGAACTTAATTCTGACCAACACACTATATTTCCTTTCTTCTTTAGAAGGAAATATTTTAGGAGAAATTCTGAACTACAACATTTCATTTTAAAAGTATGTGAAATGTTTAAAGTAGGAAATTAATTGTATTAACAATGAAAATTTTTTACAAGTTCAACTCTAAAAACCAGCTACAATGGTGTTTTAAAAGAAGTTCAGTTAAAAATTAAAGGTCTGGTCCCACCTCTAGATGGAGAGCTACAGGCAATTATGGGCTGCTGAGTGAGGGAGAGTCAGTCTTCTACAGGAAAAAGCTCCCTGAGAGAGTTGGACTATATTTTAAAAATTGAATTGCAATAGCTGTAATGACATCTTAAAACTCTTATTCCAAATCAGGTGAATGAAGTATGCATCTCAATACATTTTTTTAAAAAAATTATATTTACATATATATAAACAGTGTTTTTCTTTAAGCATTGAATTAGTATTTTTAGAGACAAAAATATAAAGGTCTGAGTTCTACCTCAAAAGTTTTCTGTGGTTCTAAGTGAAACTTGTTTGTCAAGACAGAATATTCAGAATAAAGTGACTAGGATGACTCTCAGAGCAGGGACAGATGGGGCCCCTCTTTGGGAAGAAAATTGGAGATCTGTAGACAATGCTCTAGGCTTCGAGGTGTCACTTTCCTAGGTGACAAAAAACTTAGACATGTCATTCCTAACAGAAAGAGCCTTGTCTGTAGCATGAAGAAAATCCAAGGTGTGCTTTCTATAGCCTGGTTATCCTTCTTGGGTAGGAGCCCAGCTTCTTGGACTAAACAAGGCAGGTTA